GTGCAGGTGCACCAAATTTTACCTAACCCAACAGAAAGGCACCTCATGGAATTTCCCTGGACTGGATTATGATTACTGTGTCTGCACCTATGCTCAGCTGGAGCCTCTTCCTGCATGAATCTGTCAGTTCATTTTGAGACACACAGAAAGATCAGCTGAGTGCTGTTTCCCCCAGATTCCCCTTCTCAGATGATGTCCTAATTAGGTCACAGAGAAAATCAAAGATGTAGAAGCTGGATTGAGTGCTCACCAACTGGCTCCTACATGTAACTGCCATATTTTAGTTTAATTTCTCCTAAGATGTTTGCTGATGTCTTGGAGAATCTTGCCCATAAAAAGGCAGGCTGCTCGTCAAGAAAGCAAGTTGGTGAACACATGAATATTTTGAGCTGCAGCATGTAGCACTCAGTATTTATCACTACAGGAGAGAGCATGTGACTCCTCTCTCACGTGGCAGCTCCTTGGTTTATGCCTTACAGATTGGAAAACAGCAAAAGTATCCTGCAGGATCACTTTTGAAGAAAGGGCAAGGCACTGGAGCCATCTCCAGTGCTAACACTTTGCTGCAGAATGATTCTTGCCTTTACCCTTCTAGAAAATCCTGTGTGTGGGAAGACAACAGACTTGCTAAAGTCAGAAATGAGTTACTGTTTTACTGCCTAAAGAAAAGTCAGAAGTGTGGCCTCAGAAGTAGCAGTGTGACCTGCCAAGGAGGCATATTTATCTGTTGCCCAGAGCAGGGAGCTGGAGGTGTTCTGTTGGTGGCAGCAAACGCTGAGCGTGCAGACAGGTGGGACTCAGCGCACCTCCTGCTGGGCACAGCTCGAGAGGGAGGAGAAGGGCGGCTGGAGCTCCTCGGGGGATTGTTTCTTGGCAGGAACACACATGCTCCAAGAAAAACAAATTTGCTCAGTATTTTTATGAGTCTCTGAGCTCAGCCAGGTCTGGCAGGGATGACTTGACTTCGCCCAGAGAGACAGTAGTGGGGAGATCATTCCAAGTTTCCCTTTATTTGGGTAGTGGAACATGAGTAACTCCTTCCCTGAGCTGGAGGGTGTTGCCCTGGGCTCTGAATCCTGCAGTGTGTGTGTCACACTGTGCCTCTCACATCCTTCCACGGGGCCCAGGGCAGCTCCCTTGTATGGCCTGACTGCACTGCAAAATATAATTGCCTTTGATGCAGCAATTCCAGCACAGGCACTTTGGACTCTGCGGAATAACAAATAATAATGAAGAAAATAGTCTGGCAATCAATGCTGATCACACCCTATAGGCTTGCACTGAGTTTTTCATTAGGTAGTCGATATTACATGCAAAATAGTAACTTTCCCAGAACCATGGAGAGCTTAGAGTTCTTTGTAAATGTGTAATTTCCCCTTTAAAATGCAGTTTATTTCCCAGTACAAATTCTTCATAGTTGGGGTTGAAAGGCCTCATCATTTTTCGGAGTCAGAAACACCCTGAAAAGATAACAGTTAGTGAGATGGGCAAATTCGGGGAATTGAGGCAAAGGTTCTGCTCTGCAGGTGAACCCAAAGGTCCACAAGGCCTGCAGGGATGTGGGTGTGGGGGGTGTGTGACTTTTTAGACAACTGCAGCTTGGAGAGCTTCACTATTGCTCCTTCTTTTTCACATTTTGATTGTTCTCTCCTGTTCTGCTGAAGCCAGAACTATTTCTGCCCACTTTTGCCTCACTACCTCTCTCTTCTTTTGCAGACTTACACTGCCTTTGTAAGGCGCTCACTGCTAGCTAATGCTGTTCTGAGCTTGTGAACATATAATTTATTTTGAATATGTGTCTCTGTTACATGCAAAACCAAGCTGGATGCTATGATTCCTGTTTCATTCTCCTTCCTGACCCAGCAATAATTCTCATGATGGTACAAACCAAATAAAGAATAGAATCTCTATGCCAATCTACTCATCAACCATAAATAGGCAATATATTAATCAAATTTCCAGAAGTGAATAGCAACATATTTCTGAGTCTTGGTATCTCCAAAATGTATGTAGATGTTTGCTTTGGGGATCTCTGGCATTTTTGTCGTCAGCTAAGGGCTGTCATGTGATGTTTATGTTGGCTAGAGCAGCACTTGGCAAAAGAGGGTAAGAACAAAACTGGGTATAAAATGGGAAGCTTTTCTGCAGAGAAAGTGTCTTTCCTAGACATAGGATTTGTGAAAATATGAATCACTGAAGCTGTTCAGAAGAAAAAAGTAAAAACTGATTTAAAAGCCTTTATTTTCAGAATTTCAGAAACACATATTCTGATGAATTCAAAATAAAAAGTCCTTGGAAGTTTATCTGTTATTCAGTGGGGAAGTTCAAAGCTTACTTCACACATAGGTGAAGCTTTATTTTCATTGGTACTTTATTATTAGATTTATTTTCATCGAGACTTCAGGACAATGAGAAGCCTGGCATGTCATCTGAATGTAGTGATGAAATACATCTGGCACTGAGAATTTCATTGTGCTAAAGAGTGATGTTCTATAACATTATGGACCTAATTGGCTTGCATGTCACTATTGAAAATAAGGAGGTAACAGCAGTTTTAGGTTTTCTCCATGCCTGGGACTTAGAAGGAAGCAGAGATGCAGGTTCAAGCCCCTCTGGCTCTCCCTTGTGAGGGCAGAGGCTCTTTGCTTGCTCTGGTCTCCCCCTGGGCACATGGATGGGAAGCAGGTGGAAGGAGCTGGGGTCAGCCAAGAGAGCCCAAGCCAACATCACTCTTGAAATGAATGTTTGCCCCTAAATACAAATTACTTCCATCTGGTAAAAGAAGAAAAGTTATTGTAGGTCTACTGTAGTTCCTCTCTTGTGTTCCCCAGGAGCAGGGTGGCTCCATTTATCTGACTGGGGCATTGCTCTGAAACAGCTCCTGAGTTTGCCTGGCCTTTACTTATGTGCACTTGATATTGCTGTGCCTGTTTTACATGAAATTTCATTTTGTTGAATGGTTTCACCAACTTACAGGAAGAGACTCTCCACTTACACTGGTCAGTACTATCTTTAAAACTAGTGGAAGTTTGGGAGTGAGCTGCAATGTAAAGTGCTTCCCTAAAGGAGATGTAGCAGTCAGCACCAAAGTCCAGACAAACGACAAGAAAGTGATGATGCTTTAAACTTGGCCTCAGTCCAAAGCATCCCTGCCTTACAAACGGATATGCAGTCTTGTTATCTGCCCAGGAATAACATCAAAGCGACGCAGTGCATTCACACAGGGAATGAATTCGCAGAGGATCAGACCTTGACTTGTGCACCCACAAATGGAGAAGTCATGTTTGTAAGAGCTCCCTTTCTTGTGGGCTGTGTGCAGGTACCCAGTCCTTTAAATTCTACTTTAGCTAAGCTGTGATGCTTATCAGTTGGATTTTTCAGTTGTGATAAAATGCAGTGATTCCTTCATTACATCCTTGAGGTGCTAGCTATGAACCCAGCCTAACCATTCCAAATCAAGAGTCAAGCATTCACTTAAGCATTCTGGAATATATTACTTCAAAAAAAATCACTTATTTTTAATGGCACTCTACTTATTGAGCATGTAAATTAAGTTTTTACTTCCCACATAATCTAGAAGAATACCTTTGTTCATTTGCTGTCCTGCAAATAGAATAGCAATAAAGAAATTTTTATTTGTATGCAGAGTGGAAAAGAAGTGGAAACAGGAGGAGAAAAAATTTGAAATTTCAGTTTTAAGGCAGGATTTAATTACTAACCATTAAAATTAGCTTTCCTATTCATCCTTCTCTCACAAAACCTGCTCTCTGAAGGGTAGAGGTCCCTGCAGACTGGCTGTGATGTTCTGACCCGCAGGTAACTCATGCCATTATCAGCATCGGTCTGTTTGTACCAATATAAGAGCAGAGCAGGCAGTGTGTGTGAGAGGTAGGCAGGCTGGGACTGGGGGAGATGCGATGCACTGTCAGTGCTGCTGGTGAAAGGAAAGCAATTGTCAGGCTGTGATTCCTGGCTGCCACTGCTGCCTGGGAAATGTGTGTCAACACCACGCAGAGGCACAAGCTGCTGCTGCGGGGAGGAGGAGGAGGAGGTGCCTCTCTTTATCCCTGCTCGGCTTGATGCTGGCGTCTCAGAGATGCCTTTGTCACAAACAGGAGTGCTCACAAGGCGTTGTCTGCTTTGCTTTCTCTCCCCTAGCCCAAACAACAACAACGACAACAACAAAATCCCATCTTTGCTATGTAGCAGTGAGATTCTTTGTTGGTTGGATTTTTTCTTTTTTTGCTGCTGTAAGATTTCGGGATGATCCAAGAGTGCATTCACTGGATTTGAGGGGTGTTGTTGGAGGGGGAATTCCGCTGCTGCCTCAAACCCAGCAGTTTGCAATATCCTGAGCTGACCCTGCTGAACATAATACATCAGGTCAAAAATGTTTTGTTGCAGGAGCACAGCAGCCTATTCCTTTCACAGGAATGGTTTCATCTACTGCTTGCTGTTAGATTAATAACCTTTTCCTACTTGAACTGTCTGTTCTGCCAGGTTTTTTTTTTTTTTTAGTAGAATCCCTTGTGGTTTGGCCATGAACTGAGCATGTAAGGGACCACTAAACAAGAAAACCTCCAGACAGCTAGCTGGGCAACCCTATTTCAGTAAAAAAAATCCTGCATTTGATGAGCCAATTACACAGAGCAAATATTAAAAGGACAGAATGCCAAATACTTATTTGCAAACCTAAGCCTTTATTAACAGCACAGTTAAAGCTATGAAAGATCACGATCTGAGCCTCACAGTCTACCTGCACCCCTGCCTGAATTCTGGGTGCTGCTGGCTGGGCTTTGTGAGTGTTGTAGGACTAATCCCTGTGGTTTCTTGATTATGAGCATGTGCAGAGCAGCCCAAGGTAGAGCTGTGCATGCAGAGCGATCACACAGACGTGCCTCGCAATGCCATGTTTGTGCATGTGTTCCTACAACTGAGGAGGATACAGGGAGCCTGCCTGCCTTGCTGATTTATCTGATGTTTTCTTGTTTCTGTTTCAGCATTCAGGATAAGTCCTTCAACACGACAGCTTTAGCAGAGTAAGTGAACACTTTAAAGATGTCCTTATTTTTAAACAGGAATGATGAGTTTAGTTACCGTACAGAATAATTGTAAGTGCTATGTGAGAAGTCCCAAGCTATCTGTCATATATTTGAGTTTTCTGTAATCTAAATATATTATTGCCTGTATGGGAAGGATTGCATAAAGCAGCTGCCTTTAAATGCTCTGTGACTATTTAGCAGTGAAATCCCTTTTTTGGGAGAATGTATGCTGGGTGCACATCACACACGTTTAAGTGCATGATTTTCAGTGTTGGATGAAACTCCTGTCAAAATATTGCTCATTTCTGATACTGATGATCCTGTCAAACACAAGCTTGTCTGTTTTCTAAGGACACATGGTCTGTACTCACCAGAAGCATTGTTAGGAAAAGAAAAATCATTAGGAAATATTTGGAAAAATCCCTATACATTATTTAGATAGGCCAAGTACCAAAAATGTCATTCTTTTATTATCCATTCCATAAACTCCTTACATGGCCTTTTGTATATATCATAATCATAAGGATATATATGTTGATTTTTCTTGTTGTTTTACAGACAGAGCAAGGGAGGACATTAGAAAGTTAGAGAGGCAAATCCTCCAGGAACTGTTGCAAATGAAATGGTCTTTGTCTTATTTTAGTCTAAACCACTTCAATATTGGTGTTCTGTGCATTTTTACTTTGCATGCTTTTGATTGTTTCAAAAGCTTTTGGGGATGATTCTGCAGCAGTAAGGAGCCAAGTTGTTTTTCAGGAGGAAAATGATGTATGGGTTTGTTTGTATAGTAGATGAGTTTTACACTGCTAAAATGCTCATAATTTAAACACCCCAGCTGGACAGTGAGCTGTTTGTTGAGTGCTGGGGGACAGGGGACACTCTGAAAACAGGCCAAGCTGTAATCATCTGAGCCATCTCTGAGTGTTGTCATAACCTCTACATGAAAAGTAACATTTCAAAGGGATCTAAAGAATTTCCTTCTCTCATATTGCTTTGCTTTATTTGCATATATTTCCTTTTTTTATTTAATATTTAAATTTAGTCATAGTTTCTGTGTGACTGGGGCAGATATGGAAAGATTGAGCTGAAGCTAATAAATCATGGAGGGGTTTTTTGTTTGCTTGCATGCTTGTTTGTTTTCATTTCCTGTGTTCCTGTTAGTTAAGTAATGCATTTTTGTCTGTAAAATTGATGGGTTGCTCCCCCTTCACAGAAAAATAGCCAGATTACAGATAATATATTTTTCATATTTTTTTTATCCTTCCCTTTCCTCTGTCCCTAAGTGCATCCATTGTTTCCTGTAGAGATTCCCCTGGAGCAGTCCCTAAACCTGCCTCCCCTCTGAGGTTTCTGGGACCCAAAGGTGATGGCTTTTCTCTGTGGGCCTTCATGTTAAACCAGGAGGGTATAAAAGCTGGGAGTGTGGTGCCAGCCCTGCCCTTGGGGAGATGGAGAGGGGTTGGATCTCCCTCATTTCAGCTGTTGTTGGTTCTTGTTTGTGGGTTTCATGTTTAATCTTATATTTCCAAACAAAGGGGTAGAAACATGCTTTTAGAAAACAAAAGGAGTGAACAATGATATCTGAAAAGCATTGTCCCATTGAACAAACTTGCTTTCCAGAGTTGTCTTCCCTAAATCTCATTTGGAGCAGTCCCCCAACACCTGCTTTTGAGTGCTGCTGAGGATACACAATCCTTACTGATTTCAGCACTTATTGCTTGTGTTGACCATCTCTGAAAACAGATGAAAATAGACTTACTTTTATTTAGCAGAAGAAAGAGAGTTTGCCATGGACATCTAGACATCCTCATTTAACTATTTCTGTCTTTATTTGTGACAAAGGCAAGGCCAGGGCTTCCTGAACGAAATCAAGTCAGTGGTAGAGCACTTTCAGGAACATTTCTCCAGACGAGGCGAGCGCCTGGGGGTGCCAAGCTCCCAGTAAGCTGTGCATGCAGCCTGATTTGGGAGCTGCTCACGTGAGCTTCTGAAAGGTCAAGTCAGCAAAAGAGAGCAGTGCTCACTCTGGTCTGAAATGGCTCCTGTGGGAAGGTGAAAATGGCAGAAAGTTGAAGAAGCTGGTCCCATTAACCCAGAGACCCTGGAAGAAAGACAGAGACAGTACTAGCCAGAGTCAGGGCAGCACTCCATCCAGGCTGGGATCCCAGCTCCAACATGACTCTGGCCCATGCCATAAGATCAATAATGGATGTACTTACTTGTAAGAGATATCCATCAGTCAGTAGCTGGATTGGGCACTGAAGGGAGAGGATTCACACCGCTGGCTTTGTTAAAAGACAGTTCCTACCCAATGCAAGCCTCAACCCGTCTGGATTTCTGACCTGCAGCTGTTGTGGCATATTCTCTGATGGTTTAGGAGTGAGGAAGATGCTGCTGCAGTTTTTTGGTTGGTGAAAAGTCTCTCTGTCTCTCTGCTACATGGCCACAGACTATCAAAAAACTTACCAAACTCTCAAATATCACCCTATCTATTAAATACAGCTAAAGATAAATAACAAGATTTACAAGTTACTGGTGAAAGGAAAAGAAGGTGTGCGTGTTTGTTTTGATATGTGCAGACAGGAGGCATGAACACAGATGACACATTTCTTTAATAAATCAAGGTAGGAAAACTCCATGATGGCGTTTTAATGATGGATATTTGCATATCACAAGTCCATCTTTTTAAGGGTCCTGCAATGGTCCTAGCCTCAAACACTGCCCTGTGTAAGCTCTCAGAATCCTGGTTATTATTTATTCTTGCACAGACAAAAATTTTGGTGGGAAATTTTAGAGTGTGTTTCTTCTGAACTTCCTCAGGACCTTTTAAATTTTATGATGGTCATTGTATTCTCTGACTCATTAATGCTTATCTTTCCTATCTACTGCCATCCAGTTACTCAAAGACATTTTGTCACACTCATTATGTTGTTTATAAGTTGTGTCTTGTTTTATGACTCCTATCAGCTGCTGGGTGCTGAGTTAGGAGCTACGCCTCTCCAGATCACCTCCTTACAGCCAGCCCAGCTCCCCCAGTTAAGGAGAGTGCTCCTTAACTGGACTTGGTTTGACCACTGGACTTGTGCTCAGCCATCCATTGTACCTCCAGAGAGTGGTTTTTCCAGGAGGCTGCCAAGTGAGTTGACTAGTGAGAGAAGAGGGAGCAAAAGTGGTGGCAGAGCTTCTTCCTCCCACCTCCTCTCTCTGAGGCACACCCAGGAGGGAGAGTTTGTCCCTTTAGGGGATCCCTGGACTTTGCTGGCCATGGTTTGGCCCGTGGTGCACACCCCACCTGGTGGCACCTTCTCCTGTGTCTGTGCTGGGAGCTCTGTCCATCCAGCTCTGACCTTGGCACTGCCTCCTTACAGTGCATTTTCTTTCTGTTGTTTTTGTCCCTCTGAAATATTCCTTTTAGTTCTAGAGCCAGGTTCACACTGAGCTTAGTTATTCAAGCCCCCAGTGTGTCCTGTGCCACCCCTTGATGCTTCCTGTGAGGCACTCAGGTATTGGCCAGAGGGGAAGGTGTGACTGGCACCCAGAGGCAGCCAGATTTCTACAGTGAATTTTTCCATTTTGCACTTCAAACCCTGTTTTCCATCCATCATCCCACTTTGCCATGTAGGGAAAGCTGCAGTCATTGCAGGAATATTGTGTGATTAGGGTGATCTGCTGCTGTAGTTCTCTGCTCCAGTTGTGAGCAGCAAATGCTCTCATGCATATGCTGATGTATTCAGGAAGTGTAAACACTTGAGTGGCCCTTTAAATATTTTCTGCTGCAGTCTGACTTTTGATATAGACACCAGCAGAAGACTGGTGGGGAAGAGGAATATATTAAACCCTTGCCATCAAATTGCAATGCAGGGCTATGAATGTGTCACTTAATGTACTCTCTTCTAAGTGGGGCAGTTCTCAAAATTTAACAAATCAGCAGGAGTACAGGCTGCTTCCCCCATAATGAAGAGATTCCTCTGCCAGAAAACTTCAAGGGATCCAGGTCTCCTTAGTGTGTGTGCCCTGTGAGTATGAACTGAGGGTGAGGAGAGGACCCTGACTTTACCCCAGCAATACCAGGCTCGGTGTTTGCATATTTTGGGAGTGCATGCCTATGGATTCATGTTTATCTGAAGAAAGACTGCCCATGGGCTTTGCAGGTTAAATCATCCTGCAAAGTTCAGCCATGCAGCCAAGTGTCACGTTCAGCTCTCAGTGGTTGTGGTTTAGCATATTTATCCAGACTTCTCTTCTGATTAGACAGCCTTGGGACAATTCTTTTGTTTGTAAGTTAAAGGAAGTAATTGATTGTGATTGTTCAGGCTTCTTAAAAAATACTGCTAGTTCTCTTTTTAAGACGAACTCTCACTTCATTATTTAGTTGGGGATTTTTTTCCTGCTGCATAAAGAGTGACTGATCTATCATAGTTAATATTTTTGTGAGTTTGTGAGAAAAACATCCTTAGTTGTGTCTAATTATTTTTGAGGTTAATGTAAAGTACACTATAAGCAATTAGAATACAGAATTTCTCATAATTTTCCTGTGATTTTTATGGTAACATCTGAATTCCTTGTAATTATTTCCACTTGTCTGAAAATGATATACCACATTGTGCACACTTAACATCTCAAATCCTCTTCTTCCTCTGAGATTTGGACTATCATGGAGCAGCTACAGCATTAAATGACCCTAACTAAAGTGTGAGGAGAAGAAGAAATGTGTTTACAGTTTGAGCTGCACTGTAATGTTATTAAAAGCTAAGTTTCTGCAGCTGGCAGAAAACCAATAATTATCTTGTATTCATTTTCAAGGTGTGACGGGTATTCAGACTCTGTGCATGAAGATCAAGCAGGCAGCTCCAGTCCCAGGTACTCTCCTGCAAACTTTATCTGAAATCCATTGGCAGCAAGTGAAGCTGTGACTGCTTCTGTTAAACCACTAGAAAGAAACCTTTATTCTCAAGGGAATGCAGAATTTCTGGGGTGTTACCTGCAAAAGCTGCTAGTATTTCTGGGAATGTATGTATTTATTGTATGTATTCTATGTTTATCTCATGCACTTTTGTGTGATCAATATGAGGATTATTTACTGTTGCTATTATATAAGTAAATATGTTATGGTCTGTATTCTTAACTTCACATCATACTCCTGTCATTCAGATGCAGCTGTGGTGCTTATACACTGAATTTTATTGTACAGCAGCTGGTGCAAAGCAGTAGTAAGCAGAGTTTTGCAACTGTGCAAGGATGTGCTCATTGCTGAGTGTGTCTGGGAAACAGAAATCCTTTAAATTGTAATTTAACTGAAGTATTCTTGAGGCATGCCTCTCTCATGGCTATATTAGTACATATTGATTGCTAAGGTATGCAGCTTAACTTTTCAGGAAGATCTTAAAATCAGAGGATACCTTAAAATTAGCAACACTGGTGCAAATTGTTGGGGTGCCCATGGGCTATAAAGCTGTAACTATAACAACTGCCTTGGAGCCTGCTTGCAGAAGGCATGGGCAGCAATGGTGCTCAACTCCATAGGCACCCTGCAAGCATCCATCTGGATGCTGATGGGCCACAGATGGAAAGTGAGTTTGGCAGCTCAAAATCCTTAGGAGAAAACATTGCACTAGCAAGTTATGCTTTCTGGAAAAAAAAAAGAAATGAAACTCAGGGGGATTTAATTCAATAGCCTTGACTCCCTCAGCCATGGAAGTTTCACACCAGGAGAGAGGTCATCTCCCAGCCAACCATTAGGATGCTGCCAGCTGGAGCTAACATCTGAAATCCCACCTGAACCCCAAGCTCCAGGCAGGGATTTTGGAGCAGCAGTGCCACTGCCAGCTCCTGAGGCAGCCCTGCCTCCTGCACTGCAGTAACTTCGGGTGCCATGGAGCTGCTCCCCATGGAAGGCGTGAGAGCAGGCTGAGGATGGAGTGACTGGTGTGGGTGACACCAGCAAGGTCTCTTTGGAGAGAGCTTGCACATTGTAGTCTGGGTGGGGATTGGAAATGCCTGTCCCAGGTCCCAGATTAAGCATCCATGAGTGACTGTGTCTGTTTAAGGCACCAGATGTCTCTTACACAGGAGGATGTTATCTCCAAACACATCTCTGGCTGTTCAGACCTTACTTTGAGTGGCTTCCTCCTTCCCTCTGCAATGGCCCTCAAATCCAGAGACCAACAGAAGGGAAGTGTGCTGTTGAGAGGAATTATTGTCTGTGATGATATTTTTGTGAGGTTATAGCTTACGTGAATCACTGGGTGGGGGAAGCCTTCTGCATGAAAAAGACAGTTTCAGATTTTACTTGGGGAATGTGAACTGTAGGTCTGAAGGCCAGGAGTGCCTCTAAAGCTAATGTTTAAGTAGCTCCACAGTTGAGTGTGTGATAATGCTAACAGTAGCTTAGATCCTTAACTGATGTGTAGACCACTAAATTTAGTAAAAGCAATATGCCATAAATAGCTAAGAACTTGTTGCTCTTCTTGCTTCACAATGTTTTGACAGATGTCTGAAATCCTGCCTGATGCATTTAAATTTTATTTTCTTACAGAGATGATGATAACAAAGAAAATTACCCGGACAACTCTGCTGTCTTAGAGGAAAGGCAGCTGCCTTTGCAAGACACCCAGCAGCACAAGCAGCAGGTTTTAAATGACTGTGCTCTAAAGCCTGAAATGGGCAACTTAAAGCTGAGGAAACCTAAGCCCATTGCAAAGCTAGAAAATGGAAAAAGCCATGAGGAAAGTCAGGTAAAGAATTAAACTTACCTGGGGGAGGCTTGTGGCACAATGTCTAAGCAACTTTTGAAATGCAAAGAGGGACTCCCTGGTAATTCATGGTGTGATTTGAGACCCCACAGTAATCGACCCTCGTTTCCAGGGAGCTGCAGTCTGCAGCCCTCCTGTAATAACAGTTTCTTTCTGCTAGGGAATCACAGAGAGGATTTTGCTGCAACTGCTTTCAGAAGTGAGTGGAGAGCATAGCTGAAGATGTGCAAATATTTATTTGGACAGTTTCTGTTTTGTTTATTTGATCAATGATCTCCTTTACTGGTATTTTGTCTACAGATAGAGGGATTTCATGGTTTTCCTTCATCTTCATTTCTGTGTTTCCCATATTTAAATAGTAAGACCATAGCAGTGCAGTAGCACACTGGTAGCAGTGCTATCCCCCACAGTCTTCCTAGGTTGAGCTGGGAGGAGCAGAGCTGTAAATTTTGTAAAAGGTACTAAGGAAGACCAGAAATGAGGAAACTTCTGCTGCTGTGTCTGGTGGTACATTTGCCCTGCTGACTCTAGAATTCCATCTCTCAGCAGCTGCTGAAAATGCCTCTGCTCTTCCCTGATGCTTCCCAAGTCATGTTGGATGTGCAGTGTAAGGGGTTGAGCTGTGGTGCAGATTTAACCTCTCAGCTGGAAATATTCTCATATCCAAGATAGTTAATATTAATGTTGGTAGATTTGTTGGTCTGCAGTAGGCACAAGGCCTGACATGTGCAAATACAGATGTCTGTATTTACATAAAATTGTGCATACACAAATACAGATGTCTGTATTTCCATCTCTTTGCTGTATAATTTATTTGGCTACTTTTTGTCTCTCCTCCCTTCTTGTTTGTGGATAGAAATTTGCAGAGCTCTTTCTGAAGTACTTCAAGCCTATCATAGACTAGGAATTATTTTGGACCAAGTTTAGAATGGGATTTCATAATTTTAGACAGAATGTCTTAGCTTCTAAATGAGAAGTGTCCTTTTTGAATCCCTGAAGGAAAATGAAAACCAAATGGCAAATGGTATTATCATAGTCTCTTTCAGAATATCAATGTCAAACTCTTGCCCTAAAATTCCTGTCTGTTCTTCTGGAGCTGATCCAGAAATAAAGCAATAACTGTGAGGATTTTTTGCCACTGTACTGAATTCCTAGGAAATATTATTTAACTTGCAGAGAGATGAGGTGTGCATGTTTATCAGCTGAATGGAAAAAATGATGGGAATTTTGCCTTGTGAAGAGCAAGTGGAAGCAGATCAGGAAGAAGTAATGAAGAAGCAGTAAATGGGGCAAGGTCTGTCTCAGAGGTCATCTGTTCCTTTTTCAGCCTCTTCCGAGCCCCCTGTTTGTGTCCTGCCTGTGCCTCACCCAACAAAAGCCAGCACAGCACAGATTTGTTGCTCTGTGGTATTTTACATGGCCCCAAGGGGTTAACTGGAAATGGTGAAATTCTTTCATGGGAAACTTTTTTAGTATATAGTTAGACTGCCATAAAACACCAGCATGACTAAAGTATGCAACCTCTGGAAGGAAAAACGGTGCCAGGCAGATAATTTTCACATGGCTCAAGGGTTTGAGTTAGGAGAGACAGAAGTGATGAAACACTGTAACGGCACCAACCTTCCTTGGTGAAACGCCTTGCCACCCAGCCATTGAATGGGATAAAGGATGTACTCCTGAGCAGCTGACAAACAGCACTTTCTGAGCACATGCATTTATGAAAGAAAAGCAGGATGCACTGCACATCATGATCAAACAGTTCATCCTTGCTTTCCTGGGATTATTGGCAGAGTGCTTTTTCAGCATTCTCCTCACTTCCCCAGCCTGACTCGTCTGTGGCATCAGAAAGAGTGAACCAGAGCAGTGGCAGAATATCTGTTAAAGGTGTTGCCCTGATAAGCCAAGGAACTGTTTGCTATTCCCTCTTATGTGTTATAAGCCCATAAGTTTCTTTTACAGAGAATTGTCTCCTTAAAATTGGAGGAGGCTGTTGGTAGATGAATAAGTTTGCTGTGTGTGTTGGAAGGATCAAAGTCTGTTTGGATGGGAACCATTTTGGTGTGCCTTTCTAGTTGTGAGAATCCAAGGGGTTTCCACTGTAGAAAGGTCACTGAGAGGGAGCAGACAGCTGTGATCAAGTAGAGGGAAGATGGGATTTTGAGCTTCACAAGGCTCTCAGCTGAAGTGTGATTCCTGTGCCTCTGATATTTTTGGCATAAGTGTAACCCTGTGGTCATGTGCCTTTGGTCTCCATGAAGAAAAGGTTATTAGATTTACACTGATGATTAAAAAACCCAAGTGTAATAAAAGAGCAGCATCAGGTGACTTCACTTGACCACTTATCAGATGGCAAAATGTCACCAGGGTAAAACTGTACTTTGCATGTTGCCTGCAGTTATTTCCCTGGGGGCAGGAGCTGGCTCTGGAGGCAGCTGCAACCTTTCCAAACAGAACATGGGAAGAGAGGAGGCTGCTGGAATGCAACTGCAGCACTCTGCTCCAGCTATTTGGTTTCATCTTTCCCATGGTTCCATCAGCTTCCTTAGCAGTTCTGCAGCACTCATCTATAGGAAATGAAATTAATTAGGATTTCTTTGACTTCAAGAGGTGAGGAGGCTTATGCCCAGAACATACTCCAGGGAGTCAGTGTGAGAACAGATGGTGAGGAATAGAAAGTCTGCTTTCCTTGCCCAATCCTTTCTCTTGTCACTCACCTTTGGTGCACAGTCACGAGTATGGATTCTTGAATGAGACATCCTCAAAATCCCTACTGATACTGGGACATATTTACAAAAGGACACCAAACTTCCTAGCTAATAGGCAGAGAGACAGTAAAAGTTCAGTTTTAAAGTCTTATTATCAAGGTAAATGGCTATAAAATGGTGGCTTGACAATCAGTGTCTAAAGATGACAATGCTGAAAACTGTCGAGTAAAGTTTTGTATTTTGAGTAAATACATTTTGTATTTGAATAAATAAATGAAGTGTGCAAATTGCTTGTATGTCAAAGAACTTCCAATAATTTGACATTAAAATTATGATTTTAAATGCACAGTAATCAAAAAGTCAGAGCTGATATTGGCACATCAGCTGTCTGGAAGCTTTGCTTTGGTTTCTGGGTATACTCTGTTTATGTTTATTATGATGCAATTTCACTGTAGAAGTCACCCTCTTTAGTGTAAAAGAAACAAAAATGCAGTAGAAGATGGGGCTCTGCTGTAGGTGCCTGTGACACATCAGGATTTCACTGCTCTTTAGAAACAGAGATTCCACCAAGGGTGTTTCCCTAGTGTTACTTGTTAATGCCCTAATGACATGATTTTTGAGCAGCAGCAAAGACATAAAAGAGAAACCATTCAGAAACAACCCAAAGCCACCCAAGTTTTCTAACGTCAAGCCTGCAAGCAAGGGCTTATTGCCAGCACATGCTCTTGTCCTCAGCTTTCCCCTTCATCCAGCAGGAAGCACCTGGAATTTCTGTGTTCTCTCGGCCCTGCAAATTCCCATCTGAAGGGTCCTACCCAAACTTCCATGCATCCAACCAAAATTTGACACTGGAGCAAAGTCAGGTATATTGCTTTAGCAGGGAAGGGAGCTCTGTTGTTTTGCAGAGTGAATTGTATTTTAATTTTTTAAACTATTAGACTAAAATATTTGATTACAAAAGCTAAGAAAGAGGAAGGAAAAAAAATCCCACTTTGATTATCACATTTTCAAAGATCTTAATTAACTTATTTCATTGCAGTGCAAAGGAAATATTGCAACCCATTTCTTAGGTAAAGAAATTAAGGTGTACTGAACATCTTTTCACAGCCCTACAACTGGTTTTCAAAAGCTTGGAGTTGAATGGATACTTTTCTCATTCCTGTTCTTCTACTCAGATTTTTGGACTAAATTGCCGTTTTTATTCTCTGTGCGGCAGATTGGGTGATGTGACTTTTTTTTCCCTCACTGCCTTTCCCTCCTCCCAGAGTAATACGCTATTCATAAAGCTACACATATGTTAGGGAAGGGAAAGAAGCAAATGATTAAATTTTGCATATCTTATTTAACTGATATTTAACTGATTTTGTCAGCCAGATTTTTTTGATGATTCCCAAGTAATAAAATCTTACTGACATGTGAGTAAATAATTTCAAATTCTTTGTACAGAACGTCTTAGCTCTGAAGATGAAATCTGTGATACCCAAGCAATAAAATCTTACTGACATGTGAGTAAATAATTTCAAATTCTTTGTACAGAACCTCTTAGCTCTGAAGCTGAAATCTGTGATACCCAAGTAATAAAGTCTTACTGACATGTGAGTAAATAATTTCAAATGAATCCAGATCATTACCAAAAGATAACAAAGGTCCTCAACCAGCACCTGGTCTCATGGAGCTTTTTTTTCCTGAGGGAAAATATTTAGCCAACTTGTATTGGTACTGACAGGGTGCATTCAGCTTTTCTTTTTGTTTCCCTTTGTGCAGGAGCTGGAATGTGCATTGCCAAGCCTCTCAGAGTGGCAGGGGAAGGCTGGATCCTCAGCTAATAACTATGCACAGAATGTGGCTTTGAAATGCCAGGAAGCAGTCGTGAGAATCCAGCCAAGGTAAGACTTGGGATAACACAGCACGTTTCACTTCTGATTAACTGTAGGAAAGGCTAATTCATCTGCTGCCTTCTGCATAAAATATTCAGACTCCTGGCTCTTGTTGGCAGTGTATTCTATATTTATACATCTAGGAGTGTTTGGAGAAAGTGAAAGGGATAAAGATAAGAATGCAAATTTCATCATTCTTTAAACCCCTTACATCCGAAGCAGAAAGAACATCCTTAGTTTAGAAACTTCAGTTCCTCTGTGCCAAGTTTCAAAAATACTTCTTCACTTCTTTCCTTTTCCCCCCAGTGCTGAATTGCCTCTCTTTCTCAGTGCTACGTTCTCTGAGCAATGGGAATGGGAACCTTCACACCTGATTATAGCAAGGGTATCTATATGTGTACAGTTTAGGCTCTGGGTGCCGTGGCACCTGTGCTTGTTCTGGTGCTGGAAGGGCACTGTGTGCTCAGGTCTGGCGTTAACCACATCCTCATGGCAGGTAACTCAGCTGGTGATGAAGTAACTCAGCTCTGGTAAGTATTGGAAGTCACAGCTTCTACTTTGATCCATCATGGCCATGCAAATGACTCAAAATGGGATTTCAACTCACCCAACTGACCAGTGAAAGTGTGTCCTAAGGATAAGATTTAGTCCTTGATAAATCTGGGGGCACTGCTTTACAAATTTTGCACGTTCAGGTGCTGGTTTGGCTCTGCTTTTCTGTGCATAGAGTTTTTGTCAGGTGAGCCAGGTCTCTGCTCTTTGTCTTGATGTGCAAGACAGCCTTGGTGCCCTGTGGCAGAGTTTCTGGCTCCCTTTGGAGGGTGTGAAGCAGCAGCAGCAGTCCATCCCAGGGGTGCTCAGTGGCTCAGGGCACAGCTGGTTGACAGCTAGAGCTCCCTGGCACAAGGTTTTTTTGCAGGCAGGAGTGGGACAGCAGTGACAGCTGCCATCCAATGGCACTTTGGTGCTTTGTGTGACGTGAACTGGTTGCTTTCTCCACAGCTTTTAGGAGGCAACATTGTAAGTGATCTTAATTTCTGCACTCAAAGGAAGGTTTAGGAGAATGAAAGAGCATTTAATTAGCTTGGTCAACAAAGTGCTTTTGCCTTCCAATGCTTGCATGTGCAATTGAAACACTGCATCTCAGGAAGTGTTTCTAATTAGGAAGCCTGCCTTCTCTTTTTCTGGCATTCCTTATGTGAGGAAAGAATCCCATGGATTTGTAAAGAGGAGCTTCCTGAGTGTGGTATCAGACCTACCCAGTGGCTCTGCTGGTGGGGTGTTTGTGGAGGGGTAGGTAATAAATAACTGGTTAATTTGAAGGGAATAGGAATGTGATGAAAGACAAGAATGTGCGTGAATAAAACAGCAACCACAGCAAAGTTCCCCGGTCCACTTCAACTGTTTGGCCTTTTTACTTTGCCTGGTGTTAAACCACTTTTCACTATGCTATTTATTCTTGTTTAACACCACGGTAGCTCCTTAGAAAGCCTGCTATCCAAAAGGGCTAAATCTGTTAAAGAAAGATTTATTATTCAAAGTGCGTGCAAGCACAGTGATCAAAACTTAATTCAAACGAACCCCAAGTTTCACTGTGTTCCACTGGTTCCACTGGGCTGCTGGCAAAATTAGCAATGCTTTGGGACACGACACCTGCTTAGTGTCCCTAAGTCAGACTAAAAGCTCTCTGGTGTTTTGGAGGAGAGGGGAGGGACACACTGCTGCAGGGGTGTCCCTGTACACCTCTCTTCACATATCAGATGTGTAGGGGGAGGACAGGAGAAGAAGGATTTATTTCTGTCTCAAATAAAGGATCAAGGTTGATTGTTTCTAGTGAATACTGTTGTTACTTCTGCTTTAACTTAATTGCTGCAGGGGGCTTTAGCTCTGCCTTTAGTCTCATTGGGGATTAAAGGTCTAAATACCTCTGAACTCTACAGAGGTTTTTAAGAACTCTGTGAGGCAGCTAAAAACCAGATAATTTTAACTTGTCTAAATATGGATTAAAGACTGCTGAAATATGAAAAACTTTTCAGCACAGTTCCTGTTAAGCAGAAGAATCTAAGTTCAGGGTATTCTAAGAAGGGATTCTTAGAATGTGTGACAGAGAAGAACAAACCAGGCCATGTAAGAGCAACAATCTGCAGGATCATGACTTAGAAATGTGTATTGTTTCTTTGAGCGGGTACTTTCATTTTATGGTAACCACTGAAACAATAAAGGAAAGTTTTGTGGGATTTGAGGGAAATTGAAGAGTAGACTTGAAGAGATTTGCAGCCAGAAGAATATGGGAATAGTGTCTTCTTTTTGGCTAAGCTGAATCTGACTTGTGAAGCAAGGGTTTCAACCTCAAGAGGTGTTTATCATCTATGATTTATGAAAATCAGCATCAATTTAGTAGATGAAATGCCATCTGCAGAGAAGGGAACCTTTACACCTTTTTTCCAGAACATGAATTTCTAATACTATTGCCAGAGATTACACTGAATACTGCTCTGGTCATTGTGTGTAGCTGGGTTTGGATATGAGTGCAATATAATCTGCGCCTTGATAGAAGGCAGATAAAAGTTATAAGCAGGTCCTGGGAACAAATAAAGGAATTGCCTTTTTTTTAACAGAGACTAGAAAAGCCAGTATGGAACAATACACATGATTACAACAGCTGCTTCTGCCAATTGCCTTCTCAAAGGCAATCAGCAAAACTGGAGTGGGCTGCAGGCTGTGTGCAGTTACCTGAGCAGAGCCTGGTGCTTTTCTCTGATGCCTGTTACAGAGAGCAGGCTGAAACAAAACACCCCTGGGCAATGGGAAGGGCCATGCTTCAGTGAAGGCTGCATGTCAAGTCAGTGTGGAATTCAGAACTACAGTCTGGGGTGAAGTTTTCAGCCAAAGAAAAATTCCTGAAAGTTCCCCCTCTTCACCATTCCCCAAATAGACTGGGAATGAAGTGGTTTCATCCAACAGGTCTTATCTGGTCCCAGGGCTGGTCTCTGTTCTCTGATTCTATAGCTCTATTTTTGGCAGAGGCTGTAGGGTGGTGGTTGCTGTCAGACCTGTGATTGTTCTGCAGGAGAAGTGCTGGTAGCCCAGGGCTGCCCTGTATCTTGGGGTCAGCCAGAGCCTCCTGAGGTTTCTGTGCTTCCCTGAGGGGAGGCCAAGCTCTAGCAAGGCTTTCAGTATTTAAGTTTGCAAGGCAGGTATATTTTGAGAGTGCAGCTCAGGTGTTATGGTTCCAGTGATACTTCTTGTACCAAGGCAGGGAAGAGTCTCTGAGCAAGCTTTTGGGTTGCAGTGCAATTAAAGAAACAAAGCAAAAGGGTGGATGGGGAGAGGATAGAGGAGGAAGATAAGAGCAGCTCTTGTAAGGACCATGCCTGCTGAGTATGAGAGCTGCTCATAGATAACAAGAGCTGGCTGGCTTGCACAAGGGCTGGGACAAATGAGACAGGCACTGCTGCACTGGCTCTCTGTCTGACCTCCCATTCCAGCAATCAGGGACTGCCCAGGGAGTGCCCTTGGGCCCTTCAAGGTGGATTTTTCTTTTGTTACAGGAGTGCACATTATGTTCACCACAAAGCTTGCTGCAGTTCTGCATTGCTTTCTAAGGAGTCATAGGTGTGCTTTTGAAGCATCCAGCTGCAGCAGTTTGGATTTCATAATGCTTTTTGCCATTTGGGAAGGTCTCAGAAAGGAGCCTTCTGTTATTTTCTAATAACCTTTTCCCTGTGTTCTGCTGTAACTCTGGGCAGGCTGGATCAGTGCCCTGCCAGGGAACTGAGACTGCCACTGATGAGCTGTTAACCACCCAGGTCACCCTCACTGACTCCTGGACTGGACACAGGGGAGGAGCTGGGCCAGGATAGGCTGAAGGTGACTCTGGAAAAGCCGTTTCATCCTGCAAAATCCTGTGAGGTTGAGGGGCAGGACTCACCCCGGCATTAGCCATGCCAAGACACCACGCACTTGTGGTGCATAAACACATAAACAGCCTGCGATGGGGTTTGTGTCACCAGAGCTGGGCTGGAGTGACATTTGCAAGCTACAAAATGCAATGCTCCTTTCTGGGTTTCACAGAGGAAATGTGTTGGGGATTTGCTTAGGTTATCTTCAAACATCTTCCCCAGCTTTTAAAATGATGTGGTTTTATTTGAATTTTATGGAGGTTTAAAAGTGATGTTGTGCATAATTCAAAAATTCACATGTCCTGGTCTGTACTTTAAACAGCACAGTGCTCATGCAAATTTATTTTCCCCTTGAAATCTAGTAGGGGCTCTGTTATGATAATTAGAATTTACGTGGGGTTTTTTTCTTTTTTTTTGCTTATATCCACAAGCCTCAAATGTACATGCTACTTATTGCATCTTTGCCATTTCTGTCATGGAGAAAAGGATAATTCTGCCAAAGCCAGTCTATAAAGGAGGGTGAGAGACATATATTTGAGTAGTAGCCACAGAGAGAATTTAATTTTCATTATTTTACAGGATGTAAATTATACAAAATAAGAGTGTCTGCAATTAATCAAAATTTCAGCTAAGGCCTGAAATAATTTTAATGTACTCAGCACAGATGGAAAATGAGGGCTTGTTCCTGCTGCTTTTGAAGTTAATGGATATTTTGTGATTGACTTTTAATGAGAGTAGAATCCAAACCATAGTTATTAAATGGTAAGCCCTGTGTTGCCTGGTGACAATCAGAAAACCTGAATTTGCCTAGCAGAGCAATTAATCTTGGTGAAAAAGAAAAAGCACCCCCAAAACTTTCTATGTAGAGTAAGATCAGCTCAGCACACACAAGACTGAAAATGTAAATGCTCATCAGGCAGAAATGGTTACTCATCTTAATGATTTCAGTATCTCCAGAATCCAAAGAATGCATAGATAAGAGCGTCTTACTCCAGTATTTCTCGTGTAAAAAGGAACAGGAAAATGAAAGATTAAAGGCATCCTGAAACAGCTAGCAAGAACATCAGCCTGAATGAGAGAGCTGGTACCTCATGGCTGCTGTAAACCTTTTACTCTCCAGAGTAAAAGACTTGTGAGATGTACAGCTGTAAATGATGTAGAATTTCTTACAGTTCCTGTACAAAGTGCTGCTAGCATTTACTGTTTGGTTTTGTCTTTTTAAAAAAAATTGTTTTGTTTTTACATTATTAAGGGGAGCTCCCATTTGCTCTGTTATGCACCCTGAAAGGAGTTATCCAAAGGAATACCAGAAGTGTGCAAATCTGACACTTGTTCTCATCCTTTCCTTCATGTCTAGCTCTAGTTCAATGCAATAAATTCCCCTAAATATTTTTTCTTCACTAGTGAATTAGTTCTTCAGCTGTTTGTAGCCTTGCAGCTGCCTCCTTACGTATTATTAAACCAAACTACAAATATTTCACTCTTTCCTGTTAAATTAGTCCTTTTGCTATTCTCATGACTCATTTCTGTTCCTGTGGGAATTGCACATCTTGGATCCTGTTTGGAGCCAAGTGGCTGTTCACCTGGTGTAGCTATCTAATGTGTCTGGTTTGTGGCATAGCCATCATTTCAGTCTTTAAATGGCTCACAAATCCAGGAAGAATTACAACAAACACCTCTGGGTCTCTTTGTTCTGGTTTGAGGTCTCTAGAGGATTTTACAGCTATTTCTTTTTACTGGGATGTCTCTGAGCCCATAAAAATATGAATTATTTTGTGCAAAGGAATCTGGGGTTTGTGTTGCGTTTGATCACATCTCTGAGTGAGTCTCCAGGGGCCAGCAAACATCAGCACCTTTTCTGCACTGACAGATCTCATTCTCTGAGACAGCTGCAGTTCTCTTGCTTCCCCTGAGTCAAGAGTCAGCTTGTGGTACACCCATGTCAGGCTCTGAAATCAGGAGTGGGAAGTCTCAGCTTGTTCTGGGGATGGACAAGAGTGGTGCTGGGAGGCTGCTGGGGCTGCTCAGTCTGTGGGAAGCTGTTTCCAGACTTGAGTTTCATTCCTTGGTGTAGTGAATTAGTACCTAACCCTGATCTGGGAGCTGTAATGGGTCACATCTGCCTGGGTGGGGCACAGCTCCTCAGTGGCCACAGCCAGGGGGAAGAGATTTGCCCCTCACTAGTCCAGGGCCTTCCTTTCCTCTTCCCGTGTGGAGAAGCAGCAATACACTGAGAGAAAACCAAAGGTGTGGACATCTCTGATGGCAGCCAAGTGACCCTCACTAGAAAATGAGGACATCTCTCTTACAGGATTTCCAGGCACCTGGGGCCTTTCTGAAATTTGCAAAAGCAGAATGCTGAAGATTGGGAGCCTGAAATGCCATCAAATTTAAATATGGAAAGTTTATTCTTTATGGCTGTGATACAGGAAAACTGTTGTTCCTGATTTAAAGCATGTGGGACAAATAGTGCTTAGATTTAAGCATGTGTTTGAGCTTTTTCTTGGCATTAACCCTATTAGCTCACCAAGTCACAGATCATACATCTGTAGAACTTTTTGACACTACAAAGCGAGCCCAGATATTGTCACAGTTTCCAGGATTCATTAGCAGTTTAAATGTACTATTTAGGATTCAAAGTAGAACTTTTTGACACTCCAAAGTGAGCCCAGATATTAATGTCACAGTTTCCAGGATTCATTAGCAGTTTAAATGTACTATTTAGGATTCAACAAAACCACTGTTGTTTTGAATGGGTAAAAAAATAGAGAATAGAGATGTTACTTTCATAGAAATGCTGTTTCTTAAATAAAACAGATTTATTCTGTAATTTATAAATTACATACGCACATGATGAAAAGCTTGAGATATTTGCAGCACAGATAGGCAATCTATTGAATGATTTTTTAAATTTTGTTTTGTAGAATAGATCAGAGCACAAGCATTTCACCAAAAGAAGCAACTGATCAATTTAACAGCTTAAATGAGGTAAGTGTAACCAAAAGCTGAAATACAATGTTATAAATTTTGAATAGATGCTTTGGTTTTTTGTTAATTTCAAGGTCTTGGAATAATGTAATTGCTTAATAAACCTAGATTAGCTTTTTAATGAATGATTGTTTTTGAAGAAAAGCTTAAAAATGTGATGTGAGACTGCTAAAATAGTTTAAAAGCTAGAAACAAGGGATTTTAAAATTTTTTAAGCCAACTTTAGGTTGCTTTTTGTTCATGCTCAGAAAATAATCAAACATTAAATATTGACTGCGTGAAGGGACATCTTTCAAGAGCGTTTGATTTTTTCCTCGTATTACAGCTCAAAACGGTTCATCTGTTAAATATGAACTGTTTATAAGTTATATATTATATGTTTATATATATTTGTAAGTTATATGTCATATAAATATGGACCATAAATATGTTTTGTTTAAAAATAAGGAATTCTCAAGGTTGCTACATCCTGCATAAGTAAGCTAGGAACAGTACAATGGAATCTAAAAGGTGTTCTGCTTGTAAGATGGAAGGAGGGGAGAGCTGAAGAAGGGAAGCAAGGAAAGCTAAATAGCACTGGTGACACTTGAAACAAGCTGCTTTCATGGGATTGTGCCAGGAGCACAGTGTGGGTGGGCACAAAAAGCTGTTGGTGAGATGATATTGAACAATGGATGAGTCTGGGCGAGGTCCTCACAGCCAGCAGTACCCTGGGAGGGGCAGGGGGTAAAGCCAAGCTTTGCAGTTATGCAAAGTGGAAACCCTATAAAGCATCTTCCCACACCTGGGGACCCTGCAGCCAGCCCAGAGTCCACTCACACTCAAGGACAGTGGGGGACACGGGACTTACACAGGGAGCGGTTGGGTTTTTAGCATAGGCAACAACAACACAACAACACCAGTGGGAGAAGAGAGCTGGGTGAAGAGAAGCCCATTCCTGAAAAACTCTGGGAAAGAAGGCTTTGTTTCCATAATGAGCCAGAGAACATCTATGTCTATTAATAGGATCCTGACTTCCATTAGGGGAAGACCACAATGTGTCCTTTAAAGGAACTCAGACCTAATCTTCCCCTTGCAGCGAATTGTTTTCTCTGCGTTTTGTGTCACTGTTGTGCAGTTCACTGTAGAAAATCTCAGTGCTGACAAGCAGGGCACATTCAGTGACAATACAAGAGAGTACACTCAGCCTCTGTAGTCACCTCAGGCCCTGGGAGACATCATTAAGTTATTGTTTCTTTTGAGAAGCCCCAATGCAGATATCCACTGAAGCTTCCGCTTGAAAGCTTCAATTTAAAATCCTTGCAAAGGATTCTTTAAAGGCTAAGAAAAAATATTGTAATAAATCAGTGTAAAATATTAAAACCAATGATTAGCTTAGAAATTGAAATAAATTGCTAATAACCAATGAGGAATCAGCAAGGGTTACAACCTTTTGCTTTCTTTTGCAAAACCTTAGATTATTTTGTGTCTCAGGTCTATTACAAACCTGTGCCATAAGAAAAATTCTCTTTCTGGAGTAGAGAAAATGGTGTCTCTCTTCACTGCTCACCCGTGGCATTATGCAGACCCAGGGCATATCTTGTTCTATCTTATTGTTGCTTGTTTGTTCCCCATAAAGGAAGTTCTGAATTGAAAATGTCATATGCCTCAAGGCACAAATATTGCCTTAACGGATACTGCAGAGATTTATTTATGTTCACATAAAATGTGCCTATCTTATTTTAACCCGAACTCTCAGATTAAAAAGCTGTTCCAGTGTGACATATAAAATCATTAATTTCCTTAGAATGAAAAAATGGAACAGGTTGAAATTTGCTCAGTTTCTTTCCAATATGAATCACTGCAAAGGCTATTAAATGCTGAAAGCTTGGATTACTCTCCTTCTCTGCCCCAGCCGATTTCATAAATCCAGTAAATCCATCAATAAACTGGATATAATAGAATAGCTGCCTTTCTGTCTGGGAAGCACAGGAGCTGGCCCAGAGGCAGGCTGCAGGCATCCTTTTCATTCAGGAACACTGTGTGGGGGTCAGGGTGATATCAGTTTATGCAGGAAGCAGCAAGCCTGGGCTTTGCTCCTCACCTCTGTTGTCAGCTATTGAAGCAAGGGCGCCCCAGACGAAGGAGAGAGAATGATGCGTCTGACTCCATCTTATCAGAAGGCTAATTAATTACTTTATTATACTATATTACATACATTTAAACTGAATCTGCCATGCCCTCACTCTGCACACAACTGCACAGAACTGCACTCAATCTTGACTCTCTTGTGACTGTCCAAACACACACACTCTTGGCCCTGATAGGCCAAGGAAACAAAACATCCTCACTTTGGGTAAACAATTTCCATAGTGCATTCTACTTTGGCTCAACACAGGCACAGCAAGTGAGATAAGAATTGTGTTTTCTTTCTCTGGTGTTCAGAGAATGTGAAACTCAGAAGTATTCTAGGGAAGAATTGTACCTTGCTTTTCTCTGTGAAGAGAAATGTAGCAACAGTCAGCCTCCTGACTGAGTCTGAGCAGAGCTCATGGCTAGGGCACATGTGGGTCCTTTCCTTTTCCCTCAGTTCTGAAATTTATCAAACCTTTGGATGTCCACAAGAATGAGACAAAGGATGCTGATAATAGTAATCCTTTATCAGGGAAATAAATTCTTTCTAAGGGCAGGGCTCTCATTTGTCACATTGTCTCCTGTCAGGCTATGGCCTCCTGGACATGCTGACCAGCACATCCCAGAGTGCTGATCCTGCTGGGCACAGCCCCGTGCCGTGTCAGGGCACTGCCTCTCAGTGCCACAGCAGTTTGGTGATGAACTGGGAGAATTTGTTCTTTCAGTGTCCCACTCTCCAGAGGGATTTAACAGTGTGTGGCATTCACCTGGACGTAAGAGATTATCTGTTATCTCGGTAATTCCTTGTCCTAAAGCCTCCCCTCTTCATTTTCAATACTCACTGGTTGGAAGGAGTGATGATCAGTGGGTCCAGGCTCAGCTGTTTGTAGAGAGGGTGTCTCTACTACAGGCTGAGCTTCCTCTGGGAGTGGCAGTCCTTTTGTGCTTTCTCCAGCAGACAAGGCTATGGCACTTCAGTGACTGTGTTTTCTTAAAGTAATGTCAAAAATAACAAATGGCTGAGAAGGACTACGCTGTTTCTCTTCCTGTTTTTCTCTGACTTCCTATAAATATCTTAATTTTACCATTATTTATAATAATGTACAATGCTTTTTCTCTCGTGGAATTGACTTAGATTAAGATCTTTGAATTGTCAGTTGCTTTAAGAGAACATAAGAAGAGATAAGAAACCTTTGTCCAAGACAATAATTGCTTATTTTTCAAACTTTTGGGATACTCTTCTTAAGAGAAAACAATATGGTTATTTTTCCAAGGAAATTTATGGATCCATTTGAGATAGTAATGTGTCCTTTCATTTGCATTAGCATGGATCCGGAATGACTGCATCAGAAAAACTCAGGCACAATAATGAACCTGGAATGAGCACCAAATCTGAAGTATTTGAACTGGGATCTTAGCTAATATAGGACACCATAGCTTAAATTACTGCAGTTATACTGGGTTTCCACGCAGGGGCATTCTCAAATTGATGATGATGCCCACCATGGCCTGACTTTTCCCTCTGTGTTTCAGCTGTTTGCACTGGCTTCTCACATGTTTAGCAACTCCCTGTGGGCAGCCATGGGCAGATGTGGCCCAGGCAGGCTCTGGGGACAGGTCTGGCTGTGGCGGAGCTGTGAGCAGTGTGTGCACAGGCTGGTTCTTCCCCAGAGCAGATGTGTGACCTTGCTCTAAGCTGTGTCTCCTGCCACGTTTCCTGTTAATTTGTGGTGACTTTTCCCTGGGCAGTGCAGCGTGGCAGTGCTGTATCACTCTGCTGTGGTTTAGGAGAAAGATGGGCTTGGTGGTACACTCCAGAGTCATCATCTCCCTGGTAACATCAAGACAATCAAAGCTATTTAGTGTTTTTCTCAAATCCCTGTCAAGGGCACACTCATGAAAATAGATAAGGTATTTCTATTATTATTATTATTATTATTATATGCTTTTTTTAAAGTGTTTTGGCAGTGGCTGGAAATTTGCTATCCACCCACCTTCCCCAGATGGGTGAAGAATATCACTTAGAGCAACTGAATATAAACCAGCTGGTGAATAACAGCACAAGCATTGCTGAAATACAGTGTTTAACAATGTAGTCTGTGAGAATGCTTTTACACTGAACTTCCCATAAATATCAATGTGTCATAAGGAATAGTGATGCAGAGTGGATGTATTTCCTTGAAGTGGGATTTTTCTTGTCAAATGCTTGAAGTAACAGTCCATGAAGGTTAAGTCCTTTTATCAGACATTCACTTACATTTTCCTTATTGGCACATTCTTATGGGTTGTCATCTGTGTTCTCCCTAATTTTAATCAGCTGTTCTCCTGGTAAGGTCCAGGCTGGGATCAGAGTCCTTACTTGTACAGTTACTTGCTTGTAACTGGTACAGTCATCTTTTCTAGATGACATTAATGACTGTAAAATTCTTCTTGTCTGTGATAATTCCACAGCCACTTTGTGTGGGATGACAGAAAATGGGAAATGAGGACTTCCCAAAACAGTGCCATATGTATGATGCAAGTTAGCACCCTTCCCTTGACAAGAAAATGCACTGCCCCCTGAAAGCTTTTAAGGGTGAGAAGGTTTCCATAATTTTCCTGACTTTTATAAAAGGAATGAAAAGATGAAGGCAGAGAGTCATCTCAGACAACCGAGCTGATTTTTTTTTTTAACCGAAAGTTATCTTTAGGTTTACAAAAGGGATGTCTTACAACAAAAATAATGCAAAGATGTATTAAATTACTTGTTACGTAGGTGATGTATTGTCACACAAAGGAAATCAGGCCAATAAATCAATTAATTTTTCCTTAAATGAATCAATAAATTGGTTTCAGGTGTTTGACAGAGTGAGGAAAAGTTTCCAGGGTATAAATTTGAGGAATTTTTTTTTTTTTTTTTTTAGCTCAGATATTTTTCTTCAGGAAATGTCCTTCATAAATATGTATCGCTTGGGTGACTTAATGTTATATGTACATTCTGTGTGTGCCAGCTGTGTGGTTATTAGGACAGCCTTGTGTGGTTTTGTTTTATGTTTTGAGCTGTGTTTCCCTTGAGATGGGGGAGCTGAATGCCTGGGGTGTGGGGAGTGACTCATTTTGCCCAGTCAGATGGTGATTAGGGCTTTCACAGCATTTCCATCACAGCGAGATGCTTGTGTCAGATCGTGCAGCTCAGTGCTGCATGCAGCATTAAAATTCAAATCAGAGCTGGACCACGCATGGCACAGAGGCTGGAAGTGATGTGGCAGATAACTGTCCCTGTCATTGATTTGCCTGCAGCCAGTGACAATGATGTGCTGATTTTACCTTTGCAGAGGATCACAAATGACCTGCTGCCCTGTAGAACCGGCAGCAGCCCACATAAAAGCCGTGTCTACATAATGAAGTATCTCTAAAACAGCCAGTTAAAAAATCTCTCTCCCAAGAATCCCTTGAGTGATCGTGCTGTCAGTAACTCTTTGTTCACTGCTGTGTACTGCACTCCGAGGCTGGAGAGGGAGATTTGATTTTTTATGAATGGTAAATGGGGAGGGACATAATGTCATCAGATCGTGATGTCAGCCCAATGAATGAAATACTTCCTTAATGTATTGCTCCAAGCCCAAGAAGAGGGACACCATCTCAGCTTGGCTTCCTGGAATAAATCGCCTTTTGCTGACAAAGTCATCTTTCCCACGTGCCATGAATAATCCATGTAAATTGGGACTTAAATAACCAGGAGTCAAGAAACTCATGGAATAGTGCACGTTTGTTCTCCCCACGTCCTCCCGGAGCTGGCAGTGGAACACCCCTTTGCAGGCGCTGCCGATGGGCTCCGGGAGTTGAAGAGCAATTGCTGATCCCTGTTGTTCTCTACCCAGCCCAATGTTCTGCTTTTGTCTGCAGAATTCTTTGTTGAAGCTGCAAGCCCTGGAAACTGATCTGTGCTCTGCGTTTCTGCCAGCCCAGGAGGAAACTCCCCAGCTGCCGGCACCCAAGGACACAGCCCCTTCTCCAGCCCAAAGCAGCGTGCAAGCTGATGGGGCCAGTTGTGGAGGTAAGCGAGCGTGCCACGATGTGCTCTCATTTGCAATTATAAAAAAGCCTTGTGACTTGCACTTTAAAATCAGGCTTGCAGCCCTCTGGGAAACAGTGCAGAGCTAATGCAAAGCACCATTTCCTCCTGCAAATGCTGTGTAACGTAAAAAGGGGTGATACCTGTTAAAAGAATGAAAATTAACAGCTGTAACTCCCTGGTTTTCTGAGAGGGGATTTTCCTTTTTGGAGAGGTTTTAAGAATCCCAATTCTTTTATTTTTAGTTTTAATCTGTTATTTTCCCCCAAGTAAATTTACTCTCTTTACTTCCTATGTCTGTATTGTGTGAGATCACCTGCCATATCATGTAATTCTATTTTTGTCATTCTTTTTGTCAGAGCAATATCACTTCATTTCTCCTATTATTGATTTTAATTTAATGCATCAGCAGAGAGATAGCGAAGGTGAGTTTTACAGCATGTGGATTTTAATCATTCATGATCCTGTATTATTACCCAGCTGGGCAAACTGTGGTGTGTTATCTCTCCCTCTTCCCTCAATACAGAAATGAATAGCCCTAAGGCTCAGCACTGTTTTTGTCAATTCATGGCTTGTAGTCACAGGGCTGGCAGAGTCGTGATGCTCAATAGAAGAGGAGTCACTGCTCGTGAAAAATAGGTCAAAGGCAGTATGACTAATACATCTCACAGACAAGTGACATGAATACACAAATACCTAAGTCGTGCACCATGTATGGTTCAAATTAAGGCAGGTAGGCCAGTAATCTCTTTGCAATTGTTGTTTCATATCAGAAAAAAAATCTGGGTTAAGAAGAACTTATTTTAGGAGCTGCTTGCTCAGCATTTTCAGCAAGAAATAACATTAGGTTATTTATTAAAAAAATCATAAATGATAGTGTTATACTTAAAAAATTCCAAAGTTTGAGGTTGGCACTGGAAAAATCAAGGACCAATGCATGTATAAATCAAATTATTATCAAGATACAGGAATCTAAAAATGCTAGATGTCCTTTTTTTTAAATTTTCTTTTTTTTTAAATTTTTTTTTTTTTTTAAAGAGGATGTGTTAGTCCAGCGAGGCAAATACCTTAATAGCTCCTGGACACAGCTATGGAGCCTGGACTGGGGCTAACCTTGATGGGGATCTGAAACAGAGACATTTGTGTGCTGCACAGGAAAAGACATTCTGCAGCTCACCCAAAATCTGCACTGACTCCTTTCCTTTGTGTCAGGGTGGCGTTTTCCTCCTTTCCCCTCCTTTCCCTTTGCTCTGGTGGTTTCAGAGTTCATTGTTAGGATGGTTCCTAATTGTTTCCCCTTAATTATTTTTTGCTATTTTGATTGGATTTTCTTTTTATTTATGCTGGTGGTGACCGCTGCTTCCAATCCCCTCTACTCCCATTTCCCCTCTGCAGCCACATGGGGAAATGTTGCATGATGTAGCATTTCTCTTGCACAGTTTCAGAGCATGCTCTGCCACTCCAGCAGTCCAAACTCGTGCTTTAGTTAAAACTTATCTATTTGATGGGTTTTAATGTGCCCTCATTGCTGTTAACATCTGCTTTGTGGTTTGTGGCATTTTTAGTAACTTGCCATTTTGCACAGACAGAGCTGGTCCTAATTCTGAAATTACTGCTGAAATCTTCTGTTGCATTGAGCTGTCACACGGCCCTATTGGCTATTTGAGCTCCACCTTGGCTGCAAGTCCAGGGATTTGTACCAGGCTGGGAAGAGGGCTTCTAGAGGATGTGCCGTACATATTCCATCTTTAGCTATCAGCTTTTCCTCAGTGGATCAGGGAAAATAAACACAATCCTTTCATTACCACCCCAGTCAACAAATTTTAGAAAAGTGTACATGATATGTATGGAGAATGAAGATACAACAGTCTCATAAGAAGACAGGGTGCTTCAGAATGCCAATTTTAAGGGGATGAACAGTAACTTATCTCTGAGCAAAGTCTGCAACTTCCAGCTTACTTTGGAATATGCCAAAGTGAGACTGTAAAGAGTTGTGATGGGTACCTAAGCTAGTTTTTTAAAGGGGCAATTATAGAAAAGTATGGTGTAATTTCTGTAACTTTTGGATAAGAGATTACATCACATAAGCGCCTGCAGCAGTGAGCAGCTGAACCTAACTACAGGAAATGTCTTCTAAATTACTTTTAAATTAAAAATTCTGATAGAGGCATTCACAGTTGTGTGTTTAGAACTGAACACACTACATCTGAATATTATTATTTTTTCTGTACAAAAGATTTCTGTGTTTAACTTGAAGAATATCACAGGCATAAATACAGGCTTGTACCACAGGACTTGTCATATGAAGTCTACCTGCTGAACCATGCTGCAGATTATCAGACACTAGAATTTGGCTTTAGTTCCTGTGGTGTTCTCCTGTCAGTGCTAAGCTGCATGGAGTAGATGGGATGGAAGAGATGCTAAGGGGCAAGTCACTTACTTGGGCAGAGGTGGCTTTAATTCCCAGTTTTGGCAAAAATAGAGGCTAAAATTAAACAAGATACATGAAGACAGGTAGAAGTTTGGTCAGTTCACGAGCTGTTCTTAGGATAATATTTAGTGTCTTGTTTAGGATCTACACAGAACTGAAATCAGGATGATGGCCTTAAATATGAATTAAAAATGGAATTGGTTAGAACTTGTAATCACTCTGAGATGTCCTACTGCCATTTCAGTGGCACAACATTTCAGTTGTGCCACTGAAATGAATCAGTCTGAATTATTTGCTGACCACTTTTGACTCTTTGGTAGTAATTTAATGCACTTCTAGTAGAGTTGGAACTAAACCCTTTCTTGGGCCATAGCAAAGTTGCAGGAGTATTCAAGCCTTGTGGACCTTGCTGTCAGAAGGCCAAGGAAATGAAAGTGCCCTGGCCTTAAGGAAATATTCCCAAATTATAAATCATGCAGTTTGTCTCCTTTTTGTTTGCTAGCAGAATAAAAGAACCTCCTTGAACTTTGTGTGCTTGGTTTTACACTGGAGCTGCACCAGCCACTCCTTGTCCTGTGTCTTCCAGGAGTGCCTAGTCTTGAATGTGTGCATTTCTTCCATTTCTGAGACTGGGCTGGGCCTATGAAATTTTCTGCTTGTAGATGTGAGGAGCAGCAAATATCTGTGACTATAAGGTTTATCAGTGGTACAGGCTGTCTCCTGCATGAAGGAGAATTTTTAGGTCCACAGGAAGTCAGAGTTCAAATGTTGGAAAGTTATTTCCTTCACTTATCAAACACAGACTAGCTGATCTTTTTATTACATCACTAGCTGATCTTTTTATCACATTGTTTTCCTTTCATAGTGAGGGCACTGGTACTTAATACTTAATCCTTGGAATAACAGAACATGAAAAACTGTGCAATTGTTCTTAGTCAACCTATTTCACAGTGATTGCATATTTCTTGAAGTTCAAAGATGGTGAAATTAAAGTAAGGGAAGCCAGGTTCTTCTCACTGACAATACTGTTCTTCAGAAAAAGCCCAAAAAACAACTCAGCAACAACAACAGATCAAAACCCAGCCAAAGGTATTCAGTTTTAAAAATCTCACAGGGTAAGGAAAAAAAAGAGAACTTTCCAAAAAGAGAGAACACTTTTGTTTGCAGAACACCAGTTATTCCAGCCATTGTCACTGCCTGCTGTCAGTGTCCATGATTCCCCAGGACTGCTCAGTGCTCTGCCCCTGCTTCTCCCAGGTGCCCTCCTGGGGTCTCTCTGTGGGAGGATTTGAATCTCATTCAAGGTTTAGCAGATTTGGGTGTTGCTCTGGTATCTTGGAAAGCTGAATTTCACCTACAGAGGATGAAGTACTTAGAGGAAGGATGCAAGGTTAGAATTAATAATCAACTACGTTGTCTCATTGTGAAAATGCTTAACATAATTATCTTTGATGATGCTGGTAAGAGTATAGATGAGCGTATAAATACAAGAGTCATGTAACTTTCGCTTGACAGACTAAACTGTGATTATACAGTAGGATTTTTTTTGTTATTTGTAAAGAAAAAGCAGTTGGATAGTGTCCAATAAAATTATATTTAAGCCATTGCAATTACTATTTCTTAGAGAAATATAGAATTTTTTTTGAAGGTTGCCATTCAGAGCTGTTTTTTCACCACAGTCACAGTGTAGCAATAGGGATTTGCAGTTTTGGTATTTATTGGGAAGAGGACAAATAAAATGTACTACAAAGGTTCATTTCAAATCCTGAAAAAAATACTCAGCATGGGAATATGATGTCCCATGTGCAAAGCAGAAAATTGAAAGTGAAGGTAAAAGAACTTACCTAAACCTGGCAGTTCTTCTGTGAGTAAACTCACGTACAGTTGTTTTTCAGTGCAGTTTTAGGCTTCCATTGAATAAAAAGATTCTGTGAAATGTATTAGAATGCATTACATATGGCAAATATAATACTCATTAGAATTGACACGTGCTGCCTGGAAATGCAAAATAACAGATACTAATTAAAAATCTGTATATATGAATGGGCTTAGAAAAAAAAGAGAAAATAATGTAGCTGGTGCAAAATATAATGTGCTGTGGAAACTGCTGCAGGTGAACCTGAGTCAGAGCACAGATTTTGCTTTAGTAAAGCAAGAGAGAAAAAATGTTGGGCAAGAACTTTTATGAGATTGTGGAGTTGCTCCCTAGAAAGTATAATCTGCAGTAAATCCCAATCATCTGATAGGAAAAATCAGATTAGATCATCCTCATCCATTTCAACTCAGGGTGAGGAAGAAGATTCAATATTGAATATTCCCTGCAATGTATTTAAGTAGAGTACTGGAAGATGAACCCCTGATGTTCCCTAGGTAGGCCCTGTAATGTGCCATTATTTTTCATGCTACCCATAAGCAGAACCAGTGTGATGAGGTTCATCAATTCTTACTTTTTCTAGCTTGACCATCGCTATAAAACAAATTTTACCTTTTAAGGCACCTGTGGTGAGGTTTGCATTTATAGTGCAAGACATTGTTAACACAGTACAACAAGCATAACTCCTCCAAGGAGCAGCCACTGCCCATGACCTTGAGTAAATAAATGGAATGTTCTTGGTGGTGGTTGTTATTTTTATATCTTGTGTTCTTTGAGCCAAGGGTATGTTACTGAAACCCAACAAAATCCTGCAGGATGCTGCAAGCAGCCCTGGAGGTTCTTTACCACCAGGACACATATTTTTGACCTTCCTTTCTCTTCACCAATGAAAAATCACAAAATTAAACTTATTGTAAGCAGTCATCATCTTCTTCAGGAAAGTGGCTTTTAAAAGCAAACAGATCTATGAAAATACAAGTAATGCTTCTACTCTGGGAAACTCTCCATCTTTACTTCATAGTTTATAAATACACCCATCCACCTCCTCCTGTGGAACTCAGAAAGGGTTTATGTGAAGCCAGTGGCAGTACTTCTCTCATCCTCAGTGCTGTGTCCACCCTGCATGCGACACTTTGCTGATCTGTTTGCTGTTCACTTTGAATACTTATGCTTGGAATACTTCGTAAAGACAAATTTTTATTGACCTAGGTAACTGTACCCTAAGTGAGTGACCCTCAGTCCACAGTGATTTATACTTTCTTTCCAGAGCCTGTGCCAGCCCACAGGGACTGGCAGAATGACATGGAGAGCAGCCCACAGGAGCATCACTCCCTAGCGACCAGCCGACTGCTGTATCACATCACAGATGGAGACAATCCTCTCTTGTCACCACGCTGCTCTATCTTTAGCCAAAGCCAGAGATTCAATCTAGACACAGAGTCTGCCCCTTCTCCACCAAGTGCTCAACCTTTCATGATGTAAGAAAATCTATTTTAATTCTTATGTATTTTTAAGACTTTTTCTGCAATTCACAACCTTTGACTCTTCATGGGTTTTTTCAGTTGTTGCTATGTCATAAAAAGCAAATGTTTGTATTGTGGCATATTTTGAAATGGGTAATTTGCAACACCAGAAATAGGAACTAGTGTTTCCTCAGTCATAACAGTGTACAATATTTTTTGAAGTCTTTGTAATTATAGTTAACAAGGATAGTTTTTAATGTTAGTAATTAGAATGATGAGTGAACACAAGATAGAGAGGGCTCTCTAGGTATAATACTAAAAAAATCAGCTGTAATTGAGCTGTAGCTTGAGTCACTGATGAGGGGTGACAGTGACATAAAGCATATGAACAGTCCATGTATGCAATTTCCAGAAACCAAGCTGTGAGTTTGGAGAGAAATCAAACTTTCTTAAAAGCTTATATACAGAGCTTTAGCTTCAGCTGCATATGGATAATAATCAGCTCTATTGACTTGCAACTGTAAATAATCAGAAACTAAACTGTCTTCCAAATGATAATGTTTCTTTCCAGTAATGAAAAACTGAGCTTACTTTTACAAATCATGTCACCACAGTCTCCTGTTATACTTGAAAGATTTGTGAATAAAGGTGTGGGTGTTAAATGTAAATACTGGATCAGGCTTTTGCCTACTAGATTAATTTTTAAAAATATATTCAGAAATCCCGTGATTAATTAAAAAAAAAAAAAAAGAGAGAATGAAAGACAGATGGTGAACTCATTAGAATACTCTAGGGTACCTTCAAGCAAAAGCCATTATTTTATGCTTACTTTCTAAAACTAAGCTGTCTATAGCCAGCGAAAGAACAGAATAGCCATGAATTCTAAAATGTTAAGTGTGCCTAACAACAAGGCATGATCCATTATAGCCAGCTCTTAGATCCTACAACTCTGCTTTTGGCTTTTGCAGGCCAAGAAGTTCTTCCAGGTGTAGCTGTGAAGACTGCAAAGAACCACAGACAGTAACACAGCTTACCAAGCATCTTCAGAGCCTCAAGAGAAAAATTAGGAAGTATGAAGAAAAGTTTGAGCAAGAAAAAAAATACCTGGTAAGACAATAATTGAAAAGGTAAATACTCCAAGAGGGAGGCAAGAATCCCAGTGTATTTAAACTTATTCAAAACAATGTGAGATAGGGTATTTCTGGTAAAATGAAATAGGAAAAGCTTCAACGAATAGCTTTTCAGCATCTTTCAGTGTATGTAGTAGTTCTGAGACTCTGCATTTTCTTTGGATTACCTTTGTTGCAAAATATCCATCTTTGAGAAGTGTGAATCAGTGAAACATGGCTGACAGGCTCGTGAAACAAAATGGTGCAAAAGGTGAAAAGCTACTTATTTGCTTTGTAGGAGTCATTTGCCTGGAAATTTGTTCTGCTGTGCAGATCCCTTCATTCAGGCAGGCTCCTATGAACCTCCAAAGCCTGGGGCTCTGTGCAAGCTGATGGCAAAAATCAGAGAAATAAAACTTGTGGGGGTTGTTTGAGGTCATTGGTGAGTGCTATGCTGGGAATTGTGCAGAACAAAAATATCAAAATGTACCTGATGCTAAGGAGGTGTACAACACAAAACAGGGAAGTTTGTGACATTTTCTGACTGTATTAAAATTAAGCAAAGGATATATTACCTTTTAATCCCATTAATGGCCGAAACTGTAACCTTGTGCACTGTTTGGCTCTGTGGGCATCATATGCTCCTAGGAGGACAATTTCATACCTAAACAACCCTCACACTATGCCAGAATAGAAATTATTTCAGGAGTTTTATTTTGCAAAACTGTTTTGCAATTTTATATATCTGAGTTTTGAAGATTCAGTGTAAATTCACTTTAATTTGCAGGCAATTTCTAAATGCAAAATAACCCCTGATCTACAAAGCCTTTGTTGTTGGTTTCTTTTGAAATCACTCTTGCACAGGATTTTTCATTTGATTAATTAAGCAGGTCAGCTGAAATTCTGAAAATGCTGTTTCCCAAGAGAATCCCTGTCTTAAAGTAAGAGCTTATTCCTGCAAAGGACAGAGAGCTTCAGTTACCATCCTGGAAATCACTTAGGAACTTGACTAAAATTAGGTATTCGATCAATCCTTTTGAAGTCACCGATGTTATTTATCCAATTAGTCAGAGGCTGAAACATTCATTGCTGTGCTTTTTGGGATCAGAGACTAACACTCAGATCCTTGTGGCACTGTGTCACAGTGGGGAGAGATAAGCCATGACAAATGAATGCCATGATCAAGCCAGATGCCCTGCATGGCTCTGATAGAGTGCAGTCAGAACTATGGACATTTTGTAGCACACTGGGGGTGGGGAGGTTTTTATCTGTTTGATCCTTTAACTGGCAGTTCCTTCTCTTTCTTTACATTCTTTACATTTTCCTTTGCATTCAGCCTTCTCATGGTGATAAGACTTCCAATCCTGAAGTTCTGAAGTGGATGAATGCTCTGGCCAAAGGTCGGAAGCAGCTCAAAGGTACATAATAGAGTGTTGTGTCCCTTTGCTGCTGAGGCTTTTGGAAGCGGGAGTGTACCTGGAACCTTCTGAAGTCACTTTTCTAACCTCACTGCTCTGCTTATTTTTCACAGTGTGTGGCAATAAGTCTCCCAATGGCAAGAAAGATATTATGTGATATGACTTGCCTTGATTCCTGAAAGCAGGGATTTAAGTGAGCCCGTTCAACCTCCATTCCAAGACTAGAAAGGGGAAGAGGAAAAAGGACTTGTATCTCCCTCATCACTATAAACATTCATGTAAAAGGCAATGCTGTTCTGAGCACTTTCATGAGGGTCTAAAACACAGAAGTTACAAGTTTCCTAGTAATAGCACAAATGTAGGCGAAAATGTTTCTTTAGGACTGAGGATACACATCTCTAAGGATTTCATTTATTTTGATCATAAAAACAGATCTTTTCTTGATAATAAATTTGGCCTTGAGGGTCAGGTTTTGACCTTGACTGTCTGCATACCACTCCATTAACGTCTGTGGGTGTATCAGATGTTTTCCCTTGGGGAGTCTGTAGCCAAGACTGATTGATTTTTTCAAAGGCTATTTATAATTTTTCTAAATCCTTTTTTTTCCCTGTTATAAATGGATTCTCACCACTAAATAAATTGTAGTGCTATCTATCATCTCTGTTCTGGATGTAGTTAATAAAGTAGATATGGAGGATGTGATTGTGGTAAATAAAGAATTAGAAACTTATATTTGAGTAAATTTCTTCTGGAAATTCTCCCTTGAGTACCATCCTGTTTGACTACTAGATGATGATGATGATTACTGTTATTATTTCCCCTTGAACTCTGTGTTGCAAATCCAGGAAGGGCAAATGCAAAGAAATGGCCAATCTGCATGGTTACTTTTCTGAAAATTGTATCTCTGACTCAACCACTCAACCTCCTGTCCAGAGGGTCTAGGTTGCATAGATCAGCCTCACCTTCACACCCCAAATGCCTCAATCCTGTGACAACCCTTGATTTTTATTATCCTGAAAAATGGCACTGCTTTTAGATGAAGCCAGGTTCATGCCAAGTACAATTGAAATGGAAAACACTCAAATGTTTGTAGATCCTTCTTCAAATTTGCAAGGGTTGTCTATCTTTTCTAGCTTTATGGGTTTACCAAAAATTACTGGTTTTCCCCACAAAGCTGGCCTATGTCCTCAGACTGTCACAGCTAAAAAATGATGTTACTGTTTCTGCATGGATTTCAATACATTTAACACAGTTGGAGACATCAATCTCCTGCCTTGCCCAGGGTCCTTCACCAGACAGGCATATGCTTGGAACAAAATCAGGTTTTATGGGAGCTAATTCAGATTTTAATTCAATTTCCTTGTTGCTCTGTGCAGGTCCCTGGAGCTCCAGGGGCTTTGGCTTGGTGTCAAGATAATAGAGTCACATGCTTTATCACATCCAGGCAGGCTACTGAATGGGAAGCTTCTGTCTTCTGCTGGGTGCTCAGGTGCTCTTCTGCCAAGGGAAGTCATTTAAGAAAGTGGCTGCTTCTCCTTGTGAGGATCACTTGAGCAGCTGGGTTGGCATGGCAGGGTGGCCTCTCTGGAAGGGAGAGGGACAGTTTAAATTGCTCCAGGAAGCAAAAGATGTTACACATTAAAGTGAAGAAGAATTACTTTCCCAGGTGTCTGTGGTATGATAATAATTCTTAGCAAGGAGTAGGAAAGCTATGGGTTTTTTTTCCCTAGTAGTGTCAGAGGAAACTCCTTTGCAAATACTTCTAATCTGTTTACTTGCCATGCAATTTACCTTTCAGAGCTGAAACTCAGAATGTCAGAAGAGCAGAACTGTACCTCCACAGGGCCCCAAAGAAATGAGCACTGTGAAGGCAGTGGCACCTCTAAAGAGGCTGGCACACAGGAGGCCACAAGCATGGAGCCAGCTCCCTCAGTGGAGGAAACCATGGATAGTGTGTTGAGACGACTAAAGGAGAAAAGACAACACTTCAACCTTCCTGAGACTATTAAGGTATTTAAGAAGCATGGCTGTTTCCTCAGAACTCTCTCAGCTGAGGCAGATATTGGTGTGTGGCTGGCTCAGGGTGTGCCAGGGGGTGCACATCCTCTGTCTGCTGGCACTGCAGTGCATTTTCTCTCTAGTGATGTGGGAGCTCTAATGCAGTTTCCAGAAGTGACTCTTCTGAGAAGAATTGCTCAGGTGCAGAAGGCTTTTTCAAGCAGTGCTAAGCATTTTCTGCTCAGAGATGCACATGTGAAACTGTTTGCCAGGCACTGCAGGAACCTGCTGACTTGAGGCTGTGTGCCCAAAACTGCAAACCTGGTGTACTGAAGATGGTGGCAGCACAAGCACCTTGAGTCCACAGAAACTGTGTGACTAAAAACATTCCTGAAGGTATTTTGATGATAAAGATCCCCTCTCAGCTGAGAAATGCTGAAAGCCTCTGCAGAGTCAGTAACATGCACTGAGGTGACAGGGACAGCACAACCATCCAGATGCTTTGCTCTCCACCTTGTACATTTGTGCTGATCCTGCCTCTTCTCTTCCATGTTCTCAGTTACTCTTCTGAATGTAGGAGCAATAATCCATGGAACATGATTGCTTGGCTGGGAAATCAATTTTTGTTTTAAAACTAGTAAATGTATTAAATTTTTGTTGTGCCTTCACATTCCTGGCACACTATAGGATTTTCTAAAACAATATGTAACCACCCAAACCCCCACTCTTCTGGGGGCTGTTTTTGCTGTCAGAGGATGCTGCTGTTCTGATGCTGTTACAGCCAAGCAGGACAATAAATTCTGCCCTCAAAGGTACCTAAAATCTAAGTGTTGACAGTGACACTTAGACTTTGGGTGATGAATTAAAAAGCTGAAGGGGTGAGAGGGTGAAGAACAAAATGCTAAACTATGTGAGAACTAAGGAATTATTCTGGGTGGATTTCAGTAGCAGAGAGTACCCAGCAGAGATAATTTTTAATTTTTGTTTTGTTTTTATTCTTGGTTCTCAAACAACTAGTTGCTATATAAAAACCAGGACTATGCATAACAATGCCATGCTTCTCAGATCTTGCGTGCTGCATACATGACAGATTTTTTGTTTCTTTTTATGTGCTGCTTTTTTAGAAAGAAAAATGAAAGGGAAAAAGTGTTTCCTAACCAGAAAACAAAACAAAACAAGGCAGCAAAACAATGCTATTCTGTACATAGCTCTAAAATCCTAGCAGTGCAGACTGTAGGATAATATATACAGCCATTAATTTTTTATTGATGGGGTGAGATCAGATGACCCCAAAACAGATGTCTGTGATGAAACCCACTCCAAAAATCTTATAAAAGTAAGCTGGGTGTGGCTATCTGTCCCACTTATTTTTCAATTTTTTGGACTTCCCCTAATTTTCCAAAAGAACCTTCTAAATTTAGGAAATGGCAGTGAGGGCTTGAAATATTTTCACAAACAAGGAAATAATGTAAATTAAATGTTTGCACATGACAATATTTTCAATTTAAAAAAAAAATATCTTATTAATTTTCTGTTTTCTTGCGGAGAGAATTTGTGTTTTAAAAACTATCTAGCAAAGGTGCTTGGTAACAGTTATCAAAACTGCTGGGGAACAGAGGCTTGAGCAGGAATAACATGAAATCAAATGGATCTATTCCAAAATGATACATTTTAGTAGCTCCCTAAGCATAACATTAAAAAAGATCGGATTTTGATTATGAGTCATCCTGGACTTTTGGGGGAGAATGAGGTTTGTGGCACCGATGATGCAAAATGAATCGAGGATGTCTGTGGTAACTGCAAAGATCAAAGGCTTCATTTCAGCTACAAACAACTTTGGTGTTACTGTAGATATATTTTATGTGCAACATTTTGTTTTCTATACAACATTTAGATCCTGCACTAGAATCTGAGCTAGATTAATAGTAAACTAAGTAGCAGCTAAATGTTTCTTTTTTTGGGGAATTTAGTTATTTTGGCCAAAGTCAGCATTTCCATGAAAACCTGCCAAGTTCTCCACTGAAGCTCACTGTGGAAAACCTCTAAAGCCCTGCTGAAATACAAATGAGAGCATGTGTGTCCTTAGAAAGGTGCAGAATAAAATCCCAGTATGTCTAAAAAGTACAGACCACAAGAGCTGAATAGGAAACAGCAAAATATGGTTTCCAGAACCAAACACTCCTCCTGCAAAAAAGCCTGTGAGTAAAGTTATTGAATGAGAAGGCATAGAGAAAATTTGGGTTGGCATGTGCATGGCTCAGTAGCCCACAAAGGGGTGGCCACCTGTCATTGCTTGTATTTACATAAATTACCACCTCCCAGTATATTACTGGGAGATGGTAACTTATGCAATAGCTCACCTTGGGTTTAGGTACAAGGCTTTAGGAAAAAAGGTAAAGATTAAGATCATGAATGTAGGAGTTCAAGAGATAAAAGGCAAATAACATATTTTAATAACACTACTGAAAAAGCTGCACCAAATCCCCCAAAAAACAAATCCAAGACCCAACTCCCAAGCTGGAATTCAATGTGAGTGTTGGGTGGCTGGGGCTGTGACTCTGCCTTGGTGCCCTGGGGGAGCAGCAGCTCTGTGCTACTCAGCTCTGGCTCACAGCCTTTCCCAGAGGAGTAGGGCTGGAGCTGGCCTGATGGGAGCTGGCACTGCTTTATGGAGGTGTCATGTCGCTTGTTGCCTGTCTTTATACTTTTTGTTTCTAAGCTTCTGTTAAATGCTGCTTTGTAATGAACCACCACACATCCCCAAGTGGCAGACCAAGGCCCTGGGAACCTGACTCTGTGCCTGCATGGAAACAAAGCACTGCCTTTGACAGGCTCTGGGCAGGCCCAGCCCTCAATGGACTGTCTGTCCTTCTGTCCCCAGTTTGTATTTTCTGTCTGGAAAAACAACAGCGAGCGTGAAGGCACAAGCATGCAGGGAGCAGAACAGACTAGTAAGGAATATAACTGTATACAACATTTTGTGTGCCTCTGTTCCAAGTTATGAAAACCAAACTACTACCTTATGTTTAGGTGGAGTCCCCCTTTTCTTTCTTTATATGTCAGAAATAACTTTTGCCTTCTGTATGAATGTTTGCAGCCTGTCCCCCAAGGCTTTCCTCCGACTGGCTCCCTTTATGTATCTGTCTTCTCATCATTGACCCACTTCAGTTCATATTCTCCTTGGCTATGAAGCAGTGTTTCTATTTAATTAGCATTGAATCTCCTGCTGCTGTATGTAGCCTACAGTCCTAGGATGTCTCAGACAATTCTGTAGTTTGTGGCTGCAGCTGCCTTCTCTCATTTTGAAATTATCAGCTCTTTCAAACTTAGTTGAATACCAACCTGTCTTGAGATTGCTAATAAAATGAGCTAATGAAATAGGCTGAAATTCTAAGCCCTCCTGAGATCGTTTCTCTTGTGTAAAATCAATATTAATGATCACCCCATTTCTTCCTAACCACACAGCTGCTCCAGGCTTAATAGTTTTGGAAAGAATTAACCTTGCATTAATTGCAGAACTAGCTATAAATAAACAAATTAGCTGATTTATAGTATTCCTGCATTCTAGTTAGTAGCTCATCTCTTAACATGAATGACAGATGATTTTAGAGTGATTAACTTGTGCAGACCTTTTAGGAAAATATGATTAGCACTTCTGATTAATGACTCTGTGCTGTTTTTGCATTTGAACATCAAAGAAAAAAGGTTTTGCTCCTGTTGAAGTTTAGAGCAAGGTGCTCTGTTATTAGAAGAGTGTCACTTCTTCAAGGTTGATTTATTTTGAAAGGAAGGGTCTAATTAGTAGTCATTTTTTAGTTATCACTACAAGCCCCCTTGTCATCAGCTTTCTGCAGAGAGACCCCCTGTGTGTGCCCCAAGCCCATGGTTCTTGACACGACTTCATCTCCCCCACACCTGGGAGCACCTGGCCCTGACTCAAGTGGCTCTGAGACCTGGCAGAGACTGTGGGAAATGACATTCACTTCATGTGCTCCTTGGTGTTCTGGCCCAGGTGAAAATATCCAACTGTCAGGAGCAGGTCTAGCTGGGGAAGGGGAGGAGACAAATACCTGTCACACTGTGCTCCCCACAGCACACACCTGGACAAATACTGATTGTTCACCAACACTGAAAAATCAGCGTTCTTTTGGTACCAGTGATTCATACTGCAATCTTTGAACAGAAATAAGCTGTTTACTATTACAGGTTGAGTTTGCATTACTAGATCTTTATGTTCTACATCACTTACCAGCCAAGGCAAATCTATTTCTCTTTCTTGATGAATAATTAATAAGTTGAGGAATGCTCTCTATGCATTTTTTCAGCTTTCTGAGTATTTTGTCTAGAATGGTGATTGTTCTCATTTTTTATAACTAAACATACTTAATATATATGTAGTGTAATTTTGGACTCTGTTCTTGCTAAGTTAATGCCAAGTCCCCATTGACCTCAGTGCAGACAGAAATAGAATTCATTATTAGTGTTTATCTGGGAAGAAGAGATTATTAAACAGATATGTACCTGTACCCTTGTCATGAAATCCTGACTCACAATCTTATAAATAACTTTTTTAAATAGGATATGACAAAAAAGCAAATGGCTTTGGAAAAAATCAATCTTCAGAAATGTCTACTATATTTTGAGAGTATTCATGGACAGCCTGTAAGTATGCCATGGAAAGATAGGTAAATTAAAAATTATCTAACTTCTCTCACCAATATTTTTGGTATATTAAATATATTTAAATGAATTTTATGCAATTAACATAATTTTAGTTATTTCAAACTAATTTTCAGATATAAATGTTATTTCCTGATACTGATGAATTTGGTTTATATGTTAGAAATTAAAGTAAAATAAAAAGTGGCTCTGTATCTCTCCATGATTGGGAAATGCAAGATTTGAGGATTAAATTGGAAGATTATATATTCACAGCAGACTTGACTCTGCTATCATGTATGACAGAATGCTTATCAGCTGAGGAAGGTTTTATATAGGGCACCATCTGAGATATGAACTACAAAATTACCTGACCTGTCAAATGTGTTTGCCTTTACTACGCAGCAGGTCTTAAACTATTTCTTAAAATGTTTTCAAGGGGCTTCATTGCTGAATGTAGGTGCAAACAAAAAATTGCCACAATTGGTGAGATGATGATTTGAAAATTTGTCTACACAGCTGAGGAGTTTCTTTTTGATATCAATGTCTATATTCTTGTGAATGTCTGTTTCTGGCTAGTAGTTGTTGTGGTAAAGGGAACTTGCACCTCTGTTTGTCTAAAAAAATGCCAGTTGTTAAAATTATTATCTGATTCTGACCTCATTTTTGTTCATCTTCTTTGGGCTTGGAATGAGAGCTGAGGGATGGAGTAAGTATGCAAGAAGGGTATGAAGAAATTCTATTTCCTAAGAAGGAAAACAAAAAAATAAATTATTAGTGCAATGTAGAGGTAAGAGGTTGATTCAGAGATAAGAAAGAGAGTAACAGGGTGCCTTGTAGCACAGGATTCAGAAGGGTGTTCTGAGGGCTGAAGCAGCTCTGTAACAGCAGCCTTGAAACAGTGCAGTGTGCTGGGGCTGGTGTTTGCCCTGCTGATGTCTGGTATGGCGCAGCACCATCTTTATCCAGAATTACCTGACAAGGCCAGACAGAGAGACCACTGACCAGGTTTAAAGCAAAAAAATTACCTCTTCTGGCTTGTTTGGCATTCCCTGGAGCTCTTTTGTGTTGTAGTTAAATGGAACATGATGCCTGGGGAAGAGAAGTGGGATAGGCAAGCCCTGACATTCCACAGTGAAGGGTGGCTCTAGAAGTGGTCCCTAAGCACTCCATCAGCCAGATGTGTGCAGTGTCACCAGCCTGTGATTGTCTGCTGTCCCCCTTGCTCCTGCTGACTGGGCATTTGCATTTGAGCAGCTCTGGACTATTGCTTGTGCCATCAGCCACTCTGTCTCTTCAGACCTGCCATGTGTTCACTCATCTGAGCGGGTCCACCTGGGCCTCTCTGCAGTGCCAGAAATCAGTGAAATTGCACCCAGGGAATGCTCATAGGTGTGGGAGCTGATGAGCAGAGGCTGATGGTGGACTAGGGAGCAAATGACCCTGTTTGGACATTTTACCACTGAGAAAAATGTTATTTCGGGGTGTAGGGATGTGGTGGCATGGTGTGATTGGTTGGCTGTTGGGGGGGGCAGGGAGATGGTTTGTCTTGATTTTGGGTTTTTTTCCCCTTGTGGAATTTGCTTGCTGCTTTTTTTCTTTTTTCCCTTAATGCAGTAGTCAATCAAGTGCACAGCTAGTTTCCCTAAGGTGTATTCTTGTATTTGTGAACATTTGTGCCTGGATCAGGCACTTAGCACCTGATTTAAAATCATATTCTCTTCTAAATCAATGCTCCAAGTGCTCATGAAATACCAAGAACAAAGTAGATGAACAGATGGTAAATCCCCATTGTGGAAAGCAGCTCTGGTGAGGGATGCAGGCAGCAATCCTGCACAGAGGCAGCTCCGTGTGCAGGCTGCAGAGCCGTGTTCTTGGTGCTCTCCATCCCACCGGGCCGATGAGTGCCTTATCCCAGGCAGGCTGTGCTATTCCTGCTGCTGCCATCACAGCTCAGGAGGTGAGCTGGCAATGCAAGGCACAGCAGCAGCACACCTGAACTCCTCCTGCTCTAGCAGCAGCCTCAGAGAGAGAATAATTTACCCTCTGCCTGGGCAGTGTGGCTCAAGAAAGTGACGAAGCCATAGTGGGTATTCTCTGTTAGAAAATAGATTGCCATTTTCCTTTTTAGAAATTGCACAGAATAAATGACAGTTCCCATGGAATATCTATTGAAGCAAAATACACATCTGCTCATACTCTTCTAATACCTTTCTCAGCTTTACAGGAGAAAATGAGAATCTTTTAAATGTACTTTTTTTAATTTTTTATAATTTTTGAGGGCTATGTTTTGTTATGATTTCTCTTTAGGTAACTAAGCAAGAAAAGAGTCTCATGAAACCTCTTTACGACAGATACAGAATTATCAAGAAACTTCTGGCTGCTCCATCTTTGATCACAACAATTGTAAGTTGGAAAGAATTCATCCAATGCCAAGGAAACACACAAAATGCTGTGTTTGATTTGTACCTGTATGTCCATTTAGCAACAATAGAACTACTGATACCAAAAAAACCTGCTGATTGGTTAACACAGGGTGTTGATACTTCAAAATGCTCTGTAAAATTCAACTTCTATGCATGCTAGAGGTTCCAATGTGCAGCAGCAGTTTCTGAGGCAAGAACTTCAGAGGGCTGGGTAAGACTTCAGAGGCTGGCATTAATTTTCCATCGTGGCAAACATCTGCCACACTGGAGGAAACCTCTCTCTGTGTATGAAGGACTCTGCAGTCATTATATCTAACTTTTTTATCAACAATGCTTTTATCAATCATGTAGCACATACATGAAGTTTGTAGTACTTTAATAACATATTAGTGCAATGGAACAGTGCTGGTCTCATAGTGAGTGAAGGCAATGGAATCTGGCTACTTGGAAGTTAATTAGCATGTCTACCAAAAAGATTAATCTAATAGCAGTTGGGACTAGGTCAATTTTAAAAATTATTATTGTCTTGTTAGATGACAGTGTAACTTTAGTTTCTTTGAAAAATCACAGTGCAAAGCTTGGCACACTTGCACCTGGATGTTTCATTGAAAAATTTCACTGCAATTCCCCCTAAGTGTTACTTGTTAGGAGCTTTGCCCAGTGGAGTTTTTAAGTTTAAGCTCTGGTTTCAATAGCTCAACTTTTTTTCTGAGGATGGAGGAATGTGAGCAAGACACCAGTATCAGTCTACTTCAGTAGTTAACACTAGTGGCTATAAAACGTGGAATCCCTCCCTCCAACTCTTTCTACAGTCAAAACATATGGATATAATACACATACAGGAGATGTGTATATGAGAGGAGTAGAAGTTCCAGCAAGACTGTATTGCTTACATAAATACAGAATGGTAGTTAAATCTTTGCTACATGTAAAGGCTTTTGAGCAGACAGAAATAAATTGCTGGCTGGAGATACTTGGAGCAGGGCCAGCTTCTGTCCTTTTTACTCCTGGTAGCAATGCAACCCAGTGACCCCAGGAGTGCTTTTGTGAGCAGCCTCAGGTAGACCTGGTAAACCTTCCAATATGTCTATTCTGTTTTGAATACATCCAGGAAGTCAGATCCTAATTCTTTATGTTGTCAGCCTATTACTGAAAGCATTGTAATTTAAACAATTAATTTGATAATGTTTTGCATTTCCCAAGCAGGAGGAAGAAGACTCAGATGAAGACCGTTCTCAAAGCAGCCATGAGTTATCATCTGGCCCAATGTCTTGCTTCCCTGTTGAAGAGCACCTGTGTTATTCACAGGAGGAGAGTGAGCCTGCACATATTTCACCTCTGGATGAAAAGAAAGTTTACAGACAAACAGCCTTGTCAATGTCCAATTTACATGAGGCAACAATGTAAGTTCTCTCTGTTTTCCCCCCACATGTTTAAAAACATTTCTTGTAGACTTTGTAAGTGAAATATGAGCCTTTAAGAGAAATATGAGCCATACTTGTTGCACAGGTATATTCTATACCAAAGGAGTGATTCAGTGCTTTCTTATGGGAGAGGGGAGGCAGAGGAGATTCATTGTTTGGGCAGCACACTGGTGGTTTGAGCTGTTTATTCAAACAACGTTTTGTCTCCAGGAAGAGAAAGGTAACTGGTGCCTTCCGTGAACAGATATGTTCTCATACCTTAGGGGATGGTATCTTTTGTGTTTTGATGGAAGGTCTTAGATGCATAAATGAAGCTAACTAGACTCTAACACTATAGAGATCAAATAAAAATTACTTAGATTTCTATGTAACTCAACTATGTGCACAATGGTTTGCTTATAAATGCTGGGAGGATATTTCTGTGCATTTTGTCATTATGAAAAAAAAATTACCAGGAGCAAAGGTCATAACAGAATTCTCTCTCTGCTTAAACCCTTATCCTCTGAACACTAGCTAAAACATGGCCTCCAAAAATTACGCTTCTGGGTACCACTGGCATTTCCACTGCATCACAGTAATGATTGGGAGCAGCTGCAAATAGGAGCAGGGCTTGCACGTGGACTGTAATTCAGCTACAGCATTTCCTCCTGTGAGATACTGAGCCCTGTCAACTCCATTAATTCCACAGGGAATTGGGGCCAGTAGCAAGGCTCAGTCCTGAATGCTTCTCCTCTTCCATTGACCAGAGTCTCTGCCTTCCCTTTACTAGCTGGAACACCAGTAAAAGGGAAGGAGTACAGTGTTGTATGGAGTGTGATGGAATGTCTTGGGGCTCTGGTCAGTGCCTGCCAAGGGCCCAGAGCAGAAGCTCAAATCCAGGGCTTTACAACCCTCCCAAGCACGAGAGGATTTCATGTTCCCGTCTCTGTTCCGCAGGCCAGTTCTTCTCGAACATCTCAGAGAAACAAGAGCTGATAAGAAGAGACTTCGCAAGGCTCTTCGAGAGTTTGAGGAGCAGTTCTACAAACAGACAGGAAGGTAACTCAGCAGGACCCTCTCCTTGTCCCCTTTGGGTCCTGGGCAGGGGTGTTTGTCTCTGTGAGGATGGGCACTCTGGGGTGCACAGGCCAAAGGGGAATGCACCTAAGGGCAGGAAAATACCCTCGTATTCACATGCTCTCTGAACAGTGATTTCACTTTCTCAGGAGAGAAAGCAGAGAAAAGAATGATTAAAACAATTCTTATCTCATTTGCTGCTCTTGTGTTTGTGCCCATGTGGAATGTGTTCTGGAGAGTGTTTACCTCAGGTGATTGCTTGATTGGATTCTGGTGATGGTGGTTTGGATTCATTGACCAATTGGATCCACATGTGTGTCGGGCCTCTCGGGCAGAGAGTCAGGTGTTTTCTAGTTATTTAGTTAGTGATAGTTCTTGTTTGTGTAATATAGTTATAGTATAATATAATATAATGAAGTAATTAATTAGCCTTCTGATATAATGGAGTTCTGTGCATCATTCTTCCTGCCTGTTGGGCATCTCAGCGCTGATACTATGGAGATGTCTGGTCTCTGGAGATGTCCATCTATCTCTCTGCTTAGCTCCTTCAAGATGTGGTCATCTGTGAGGAAAGCCAGGATTTGGGGATCTTCCAGGACATGCCTGCAATGAGTTTATACCCACCTCAGCACAGGATATTCCCTGAGCTCAAGGGAGGCTGCTGAAGTCTCTTTCTGAGATGTCACTCTGCAGGGAATAGACTTGGCAGTTGGGTCATTTTTAAACAGCCAGATTTTAAAACCAGAAGCTACTGGGGTTTTTTTTTTTACTCAGAATTAAATACTGGCCATTTTTCACTCTGTTTTTCCTCCTCTTCATTTAGCAAACATTTTTGTTGAAAACCATGGTGTATATGGGCACTGGTAACAGCGGTAACTGGTAACCATTTGCAAAGCACTATTATGACTTCTCTGCATATTTGAGAATCAAGTAATTATACTTCCCACAGCTGTCAAGAAAGTTGTCTAGTATATGAAAAGTCAGTATTTTAAATATGACTTTATTTCTGTATATTAGAGCTTTTTGGTCCTGTCAAATTATCTTAGTCATTTACAGTCAGTAAAAAAAACCCCAATCCTCATCAGTTATTGCAGAATTAATTTTTAATACTGTTTCTCTTCTTACTCATGAAAAATGATGGTGCTTTTATTTGCTTTTCATAGGAGTCCTCAGAAAGAAGATCGGGTGCCAATGGCTGAGGAATACTCTGAATACAAGCACACAAAAGCCAAAATCAGGCTTCTGGAGGTTCTCATCAGTAAGCATGATATTTCCAAAACAATTTGAAGTGAATGCAATGCTGTGATATTGTTCTCTAGGAAAAAAAAAAAAAAAAAAAAAAAAAAAAAGAGAGAGAGAAAAAATCCAAGCAAACAAGGAATGAAAAAGAGAAAGTAATTTTACAGGTCTTGGTCTGCTGCACGATTATTTGACACACTGAGATTTTTGATGCACTTTACCAATTATAATAGCTGTGATAAGAGAGGACAGCAATATGCAAGAATATTAAGCACGGGTGAGTGGAATATAGTATATATTTTTCCTTTTGAAAAAGCCTTGAAGTGCACTGTGAGAATGTTAAGAAATTAAAAGGATGCTGAAGTAATGTAGATTCTCAGTTTGACCCGGTCTAAAAGTGTGAGGAAATGTTCTGCAGGTTTTTAATACACCTTAGTACACGCTAACGTGCCACACGTTTGTTTCCAGAATTAACATGTGTTATAACTAATTAGTAATGTTGGCTATTAGGGTGCTGATTCACTAGATTAAAAGAAATGAATTTGAGTGAGTGAAGGAAACACTCAGAACATACACTAGCTGTCAAGACAGAGCTGCCATTCAATTCCAGTGGCTTCAAAGAAAGGTGCACAGGGAGAAGCAGTGCCAGGGCTGGGAGCAGAGCAGAGTGATGCTGCTTATGCAGGAAAAGGTCAGAATGAGACTGCCAAAGGGAACTGGTGGTGTTACAGGAATAAGAGAAAGTGCTTGGCAAAATGAAACAGCTACAGGTTGCTGAGAGAAGATGGAACAAATGTCCTGGCTGCTGTCCTTTTCACTAGTTCACAGGACCTGGCTCACAGAATTTAGAAGTCAGTAAATAGATCAACTACATGCTAATTTTGATTTCTCTATTAACCTTTGCACTTTGGTTTGCCTGACGCTATAACATTCGCTTCTCTAACTACCAAAGCTCGTTCAAACGCATGCACTTTGTAAAATGTTGAAGTCCTTCTTGTGTTATAAATTGCCACATATATATATATATAAACAGGATTAGATTACTGCATTATGCTAAGATATTTTGGATAGATAAAGTACATGGTATATAAGTGAGTGTCACAGTTATCTGATGAGGACTGCTAGACTTCTTGTTTACTGAAAATAAGGTTATAAAAAGTTATTTTTCCATTGGAGTTATGCATCTTTCTTAACTTTCAGAGCACCACACTTTGTAATATTAAGGAGAATTGTCACTGTTTGTGGTAGGCCATTGGTGTGAAAAGTGGACTAGTAATAGAAAGATTATCAGCAGGTTTTGTACTAGAAATTAAAAGCAGGGATTCTGGGAAATTCCTACCCCAGACAGAAAGGAGGGAAGAATTACCTAAAGAAAAGAAAAAGGGACTGGAACCAGTTGACTCATGTTTAGTGTTTTGCTTTACCTGTCAATTTGTATTGACCACATAGTATAAGCAACCTGTTTTTTATCTTGGTAAGAAGATTTTGATTTTATAAAGCCTATTATGTACCAACCATGTTTGTATTTATCTAGTATGTAATGGCATGATTTGGAAGATGTACACATCTTCAAGTAGTATGGAGGAAAAAATATGAACACTAAAAAAGGAATTTTTTATTTTGCACCGTTTGTTGTTTCAGTGTACTGATTTAATTATTTATAACTTAACTTTTATGAATCAGAAATGGTCTTCATAAATCTGTTTTAATTAAAGTCATCTAGAGCAACAGGAACAGATACAGAGCTGTTTGAAGTTTACAAACTACATCTTTGATAAGGGAAAATGATTTAATGACATGTATACAATTGATATTAAAATGTAATCTATATATTCTATATGATTGTATAATATTTTATACAACAGTACAAATAAAATATTTTTCTATTATATTTATTATGTCGAGACACAGTTTCTGTTTTCAGTTAGCTAATATAAATAACATAAATAACACTGTCAAACAACACGTTGGAAGTGCTGACATTTCTAGGCTCTGAAATTCAAATCATGCTGCAATTACAACCTTTCATGCTGTTCAGTTTCCCAGTACTGGTTCAGTAGTTAAAATGAATGCATATTTAAACACCATTTATAAGCCGTTATTTTTATTTTGCTAAAGCAGTTTATATAGGATTTTGTTATGTTTGGCAAGAAACAGAAAACAATTTTTGCAGCATCTAGGTATAAATGGTTGCCAGAAAGAAATCCAGGACTTCTAATCATTTAAAGCATCGGGAGAACAGAAGGGAAAGAGGGAGAGAAGAGATCCTAAGAAGGCTATTGGAGGTTCTGAAGACTGGTAGTTGCTTTTGGAGACAGCGGCATGTGCATGCTTCCGACAGAACTGTCTGACTATGGAAATGGGCAACAGAGGTTTGAAGGCTCCTAAGGAACGAGGGGAGTTTTAACGTCCAACACTGATATTGCAGGTCTTGCAGCTGGGATCTTTCTTTGCATTTGCAGTAGACAAGCTCATTAGTTGGTGACCAGTAATTTCAGCAACTGTGCCAAGGGACAGATCCACAGGATCAGTGTAAATTACTTCCAAAATAACATCCTGGGCATGATGGTAAACCATGACCCCGTCTTCTTCATCGCAGGTCAGAAATTTGTTATCTTTTATGTTTAGCTGGGGAAGGCGCTGCTTACAGAACTCATCTCCTGGTGACCCCACGGGGGCGATCACGAGGATGACGTAGTGGTAGGCTGTGTACATGCAGTAGAAGTCTCCAAAGTACAAGTTAGTATTTGGGTTGAAGAGTTTTTCAGCTGCAATCTCATACCTGTATCTTCCATAGGGTGAATCTTGGGGTGGCTTCCCAGTGTTAAACTCAGTGTTGCAGCTAAAGAAGATGCCTTCCAGCTTCCCACTGATCGGAGAGCCATGGCTGCCACTGTTATCCTTAACAGAGGGCTGCATAGCATTCCCATGATGCTCTCTACAAATGAAGGACTGGTATTGTTTATTTTGTAACACATGGCAGAGAAAAAGTGGAAAGTTAGGACATCATGCTGTTTGGAAACAGGACTGAAAGGACACAGAGGAAAACCATTAAACTGAAAGACAGGGTTAGTGTCAGGATCTTAGGACCAGGAAAATCAAGTGCCATCAGACTTGGGAAGAGCTAGAACAATTCCTGTTCAAGGGCAAAATCTGCTTTTCCAGCCTGCCTTCTCTGTCAGCTGTCTGGGTATCATATGCAGGCAAAAAAACCAAAAAAACAAACCCACAAACAAAAAAGCCCCCAAATCACAAGTGTCTTTAATTAGCTGATTTGTTCAGATTTACACTACATTTTTAACAATAAACACATGTTGACTATTGCAAGTCAGTCTCCATATGCTGAATATGCTGTTTGTTAATATGTATTTTTAGCATAGGCAGTATATAGTTCATGTAGTAGAATACTGCCAGTGAAAGTTATTTCTGAAGGATGCTTTTTAGAGAGGTTATAGGAAAGAATGTACTGTCTGCCAGTATTTTTTGTCCCCAAATGATCATTTCAAGTCTAATTGGTCTACTGCTGACTTCAATCAGTGCAGGACTGGGCACAGAGAATTAGGCAATTTGGTTAGTTTCCATTTTGGTTGGTATCCAGCTTCTGCAGTCACTAGTCCTAAGGGGGAAAAAAAGACTTTATTTTTTTTTTTTAACTTAGCTCAATTTTATTCCAGTGAAAAGAAATGTACAACAAACAAGTGAATTTTTGAAACCCCAAATCCCAAATTGCATTCAGCAGCATTAGGCTGCTAAATTTAGGAGAATACTCCAAAACACCCCCTCTAACACTCCTTAGCACCTGAGATTTTTATGTATAGCAGGGCATTCCCCTGTATTTGTGTCCCACACAACTCTGGAAGTGCTCCAGTGGCAGCTTTGACTCTGTCTGCACCTGCTACCACATAATACCTGAAAGGGAACCATCCTCTTTTGTAAGACCTGCAAAACACCACATTTGCTAGGCACCCTTAGAACAATGTCTTTATACTCACTGACATGACAGACTAAAAATGCATGAGGCTGCATGGGGCTGGAGATTCTTATGATTTTTATATTCCCCTCTTGCTTTGTTTTTACTTTTCTTTTTTCCTTCTTTCAGGAAAGGGGAAACTAGCCAAGAAAGTCTGTTCTCTCTCTGCTTCTAACTTGCAACAGGTCCATGTAAAATGGTGCTGTGTGGGAGAATATTTTGCTTGGTTAAAGTGGGAGGTAGCAGTCAAAGCAAACAAACTCAGTGTATACATTAAAAAACAGCTCTGAATCAACTCAGTAATGTCTCCAGCTGTGATTAGTTTTTTCATTATTTATAATCTCCTCAGCAGCACATCTTTATTTTACTCTAAGATGCATTTCAGAAGTCTTCTGAGCCATTCAAATACTACTTATTGTCTCAAGCCCTATTTCATAAGCCCTATTGATTGGCGTGGGGAGTATAATTAGGATTTTATGACTGAAGAGATTACTAGGGAGAAAAAAAGAGAAGAAAAAAAAAGGTTGAATAAGCTTAAGTAGCCACCTGAAACCTCTGCAACCTGAAAAGTCAAGCTTCATTCTTAGGAAGTAGGTTCCATTTCTGTGGCAAGATACTGACATCCAGTGGCCAATTAGGCTAATTATGGGTCGCCCTTTCGAGGAATCTGAGCTGCTTTTGGTGCTCCCAGCCCAGGTAAGCTGCAGTGACACAAACAGCCCTTCTGAGCTCACCTCAACCCTCCATTAGGGGCTGCTGTTTTAGCACCAGGAACAGCTGCCTGTATGCCAATGCTACCAGAGCTTTTCCAGGCTGTGTGATGACACCAGAGACCATGACAGGCATGGGATGACAAGGAATTTTCCCTAATAGGAAGCACATGGTCAGGGCTTTTATAACACACAGACAGGTGTACTGGGGAAGGATTAGCCCTTGTGACTATATTAGTCTATTTCTGATCAAAAGAGGAGACCATCAGCCAGTTCTGGTAGTGTAGCTTCCCACTGGCCTGGTAAAACAGGTTTGTGTCTCCAGTTCACTAACAGAGGGAAAACAAACGCATCACTATTGGTGTCAAACCAAGAAAGAACTTAGCAGGAAGAAGAGGAACAGACAGAGTGCAATCAATTAGAGTCACGTTTGGCAGAACAAGGCTAAACCCACAGCTATAAATGCACTCAGTGGCAATTTTCAACACTAATGAACACACAGTCAGATGCACTATGATTACATAGCTGAAAACAAAGCAGTGTGAGGATCAGAACAGCACAGGCATTTCCCTTCTGTGGTGTCCAGCCCAGGGTGGCAGCAGTGGTTATGAGGGTCTCAAAGAACCTCAACAACTGCAATTTATTCTCTACTTCTACTGAGTTTTGCAGCTGTGTCCCTATGTGCAATAAAATAATCCTTCCAAAACACAGAAGGAGAAGAGCAAGTCCATGCTCTGCAATATCCAATACACTCCTGGAATAAATTAGATACCCAAGACTACAAAATGGGAATGTTTGCAAATATAGTAGAGTCTGTTCTTTGAAGCTGGATTGCCTTGAGTTGTTTTTAAAACTTTCCATTCCAGGCAGGTACTAGTGGGACACTCACATAAAACTGAAATTATGTGGCCCAGCAGGGGCCCTATCTCCTGATGAATATTAAAGAAGCACAGTCAGTGGTGCAGCCTTCCAACACACTGCTTACCTCTCATCCATGTTCTTCTAACAGGAGAAGGTTACTCTGTGTGGCTGTTCCTGCTCATGCAGCACGAGCTTTGACTCCTTCTATCATAAAGTCTGCTTTTCTCGTATCCTGATGCTACTGGCTGTGTGTGGAGGGCACGCTGGGTCTCCAACAGAACAGGGAACCTACCTCCAGCTATCCTGTTTTTCATTCCAGCTGAAGCATGGTGGTTTAACACTGCGTAAACATAATGCCCTCTCACTCACCACATGGTCTACAAATTAACATTCGGATTGCAGAGTCTGTATAACCGCATTTGAGCATGGAAATAGGATGGTTGTACATGGGAGAGCAAATATTTGAGATGGAACTCTTACATGCAGGCAAACGCCTGTGCACACTGCTGTACACTCCTACTGTCAGTCACCTCACTCTTAATTTCTCAGTACAATGGAAATATTTGGCTCCTAAACTCTCCATTATGATTACAGATGCTTTAATGAGGCTGAAGTCCCAATGAGTACTTCAGTTTCTGCTTCAAAACACAGATTTTTGTTGCCAAATGGAGGTGCTGAGTTAAGCAAGGTGAAAGAAACAATTTGTGTTTTATTCTTTGCCTTCCTCTGAACGGGCTATAAAGCATATGGACATTCTGCTCTAGCTTCAGCACAGCTGTCTCTATTTACTTATTTTCATTAGTCCTTTAATTTGCCAAAGGACTTTGAATATGTTTAGTTTCTTACCTGATATAATCAAAGTATTCTTTGTGCTGATTCCGATAAAAAACAGACAGTTTAAGCATACGGCCTGCAATCACTTCAGCTTTTTCCAATAGCTGTGTTAGGTGAACTTTTGAATAATCTGGAAAGGAAAGACAAACTGCTAGTAGAGGGGGCAGGAAAAACCACAACACTCCAAAAGCCACAGACACGCAGACTGAAAACTAGGAACAGTCTTGGTAATATACATCACATCATGCCCCAATTCTCAACAGTGGAAACAAACAAATCAAATGGCACGAGCAGGTGTTTGTGATTCTCCCCACTCCTTCCTCACAAAGACTCTGCAAGCCTACAACAACTTTCAGCTCAGGATTTCCTATGTTAGAGCTGGTTTCCCTGTGTTTGGGACTGCAGTGCAGCTCAGGACTGCAGAGGAGCTCAGGACTGCCCTCTCTGGCTCATATCAGTTGATAAACTATTTGCTACATACCTGGTTGTGAGCCAATAGCCAATGACAGTACTAACAAGGCTTGCTTAGGACCCAGCTTAAATGGCTTCCCAACCAACATGGGATTCATACTGAGCTTGCCTCAGTCCTCAGCTTTCACATAGGCATGCACAGTGACAGCAGGTCATGAACATCCAAAGGAAACCTTATAAATCAGACAGGCCAAAGTGATGCTGAAGATGGGGTGTAGATGGTGCTGAGGCTTTGCAGCATGCAAAGAAAGCAGAGCAGCAGAATGTCTTAAGCTGTCAGGGAGCTGCCCTTCTACCTTTCCCCACAAGTGCTGATAGCCAGTGACAGGCACACAAGTGGCCCTTTCCTAGCCTGGGACAAGCAGTGGTGCCAGGCACAGCACTTTGGGACAGCTAAGCTATTGCACAAGTAAAGGGCAGTCCAGCTGCCTCTGCTTAACGTGCCAAACCTCGGCACATACAAAGCCTAAAGTGTGAATTCCAGTTTCCAGGGGTGACTATTTAAGGCCACCAGCACAGCTGGCACGGCAGGTGCCCAGCCCAGTGTGGCAGCGGAGGCAGCACTAATTGACTCAGCCTGTGGAGCAGGATCCCTCAGCAGCGTTACCTGCGGTGCAGAACTCGATGATTTCGCTCCACTCGGACACGACGTAATCGCCATCGACCTGCTTGGAGGCCGTCTGCACCGCCACCGTGTACTCTGTCCTGGGGCTCAGGAACCAGTGCCCGCGCACGGTCATGGGCAGAGGAACGGCCTTGGCCACCAGCTTGGTGGGCACATCCTGCAGACAAAAGCACCAAAGGACACGCAAGTCAGCAGCGAACCCAAACCAATCTGCCACCCTTTCCTTCACTGCTTTTGCAGCGTAGTCCCCAGTCCTGGCTCTTCTCTGCAAACTCCAGTTATTTCTCACAGTTTGTTGGTGCAGCAAAGTGAGCAGTGGCAGAGGACAGTGGTGTAAGGCCTGATCTAAGAGACATGGGGATAACTTGCATGTATGAAATAATTATTTGCTCCAAATGACTGTAGAGTAATGCTATTATATATAGCTCAAATGTATAATTCACTCTAGGATAATTTATGCTTACATATGCAAAGAAAGACATGTTATTGAGAACAAAGCTACCTTAATTTAAAAGCTTCTTGTGCTCTCACTGGTTTCTTTCAGCAATGTAATCAAACAAAATTCCTCCTGCTGTCAATCAGTCCAGCTACACTACTGCTGCTACCTTCCAAACTAAATTTCAACAGACAAAATTAAACACATTGCAGGCTGGTTCACATCTTTCAAAATGCCCTTCTGTACAGCAATGGCCAGAAGAAGCCTAACAGCTTGAGCCTACCACTGAACCTCTTGTTTTGCCCTACACTGCCCCTTCAGATCCTCTGTTTTGTTCTTCCAGGATATCAAAGCCCCAGGATGCAACCAAGAAAAATAGCTGCTTGCTGTAGTTGAAATACTTGATTTGTACAGTACCAAAGACTTTGGTGCAGACCACCAAAGGACAGAAAAAATGGAAGAACAGGACATTTTATGCAAGAACTGTGGGGGAAAGGACTCACAATGGAGTTCAATGATTCTCTGTAGTGTACCTGAGGAGCTGTGATAGAATGAGAGTCATTTATTATTGAATATTCACCAGTAACAATAGAAATGTGAAAAGTGGGCACTTTAAATGACATCCTTAACTGTCTACCTACAAATACTAGTCCACAATCATCTACCTATATATAGTAGTCCCATACTAGGACTACAGGTAGATGGACTACTATAGTAGTCCTATAGCATAGTAGTCTTTAAAGGAAAAAAGGAACAGAAGGGATCATGATCTCTAAGCAAGATCTAAAGGATTTTTTCCCCCTTGTCCTCTGTTATGGATAAAAGATCTTTCTCCTTTTGTTTTCCTATCAACAAAAAAATTATCTTCAGTTTCTGTATTAAGAAAGTGTAAAATTAGCAGCTTGGGATATTACAATAATTGATGTAATTGAGTCATAATCCAGGGTAAAATTTTGTTGTCGTGATTTCTTTTTTGTAAATTCTCATCTAAATCAAATAATAGTTGGGTAAAAACTTTATCTGAAAAGGAGAGAGTTGTGCATGCTGCAATTCATAATATATAGAGAAAAATTACAAAATAAAAAAAAAAGAACACCAAGTGACATTTAAAGCTACCACCCTGAAAGGCATCCCACTGGACTGAGTCTGCTACTGCTAATGCAGTCAGCAGGTGCCACATTTAACATCATTGGTCTTCCTGTCACCTGTTCTTGGGTTACGGTAAAAACAGCTTCCACCTGGGTCAAATCTCTGTGCTCACACCCCAGTGGTGGCTTTTTTCCCATTAATTTTGTCAGTTTTCATGTAACATTAAAAGCCTTGTTGCCCCAAGTGTCAAAGCTTTACCCTCCAGCTGTGCATCAGCTACCTCTTTTAACCATATCAAAAAAGCGAGAGAATACACCAAAAAAAAAAAAAAAAAAAAAAAAAGGTAGAAATAAAGGGGGAGACCACCACAGACCTGAGGGGTTTATGTCTTGCACAGCTGGAGAGGAGGGGCAGATGTGATGCCTCTCACGACTCTAATCTGCTGTTTTTTCCTAAGCAAACACCACATTTTTTAAAGGGCCACAATACAGAAGAAATATTCCAATATTCACACTGAAGTTCGTCTGGGGATTCTCCACCTCTCCCTTTCATCTCTCTTCTGCCCAGCTCTCATTCCTGGCTGAGCCACCAAAGAAGTGCAAAGCAGCTACTGTGCCAGCCCAAGGAGAGCCAGGATTCTAGAGTGGCAGATGGCTGCTCCACTACCAGCACCCACCAGACAGCTCTAAAGCTACCTAGATGGCAATAATTTCTAAGAACAGCCTGGGAACTTTGAATAACTAAGCAGCAATGTTTATGAGTCACTCTACTCTCCTTTTTAGGAAAAGAGGCAGCTTTCAGCCTTCAACTTTGTAGGAACTCAGCACATCCAGATTCTAGTCCCAGTTTTGATAAATATTTGAATATTTTTCTTATTACATGGTAGTAATCATATTTCCATATTTAAAAGAGAGGAGGTATGCAAAATGAATTGAAAAGACAAAAATCTTATTACAATTCTAGTCTTTGCACACCACTAGCAATACAAACCTCTTTCACAGAGATGATGATGATAGTCAAAAATAATAAAACTTCATGCACCCTAAGTATGCTGAATATACTTTATATATTTACCAAGAGAAACAGTATTGGAAGGTTGAATCATTCCCAGGTACACAAGAAAACAAAGAGCTCCCTTTCCTGAGGTACAGCATGGATCTATCAGGTGAAGTCTATATCACAAGTAACTTAGAGCCATCTGAGCAAACTGATACTTAATGTTAATTCTGTATAAGTCAGAAAATGAGCTGGTCCCTTGTGTTAACACCACAGAGAGATGGGCACTTGCAGTCCTTTACCCTACCTGTAATCTAGGTAAGGATGAGTTCTCCGTGCACAGGCATCTTCAGGGTGGTGAATGACTCCTAGGAGTAAATCCCAATGCTCTGTTTTATATCTAGGCAGTAGGGCTCACAGTTTTCTCTCTAAAAAAGCTCTGCCAGGAGAAAGGGCAGTGCTATCCCTCTCCTTTATGCAAAAGCTTTTTTAGGAAGTAATGGGATGGGTGGGGACTGGAGTCAGTTCCCTGCTGTGAGGATTCAGTGCTGGGCTATCAGCTCCTGCTGCTGAGCTTCAGCTGGGAAACTCCTATGGCCAACCTTAGAGGGAGGAAGGATGCTTGTCTTGAACCACACCTGGGTTACACCTTTGGAATCTGAGCACTTCAATTATCAACCCAAGTTCATTCTAGAAGGTGTGCTAAAAATTGCTTAGTACTAAAGATACATGAAAGCAAACACCCAAGTGCTCTGGCACAGAGCTGAGTATTCAGTCTGTGCTTTACTATTGTCCACTCTCTCTCTACTCTCTGGATCTCTGTCATTCAAGCTTGGGAATAAAACCATCAAAAAATCACACAAAAAATTTTTAACCAAGTCACTAACAAAATTAGTAGCAATCAATTTTTACTTAATTCTGACAAGACATCCAAATTATTCATCCTTTTAATTGATAGATTTTAGTCTCCTGTTCTTACAAAACCAATTACCTTTGTCCTTTGACTAAGCACTACTGCACAATAAAAAGCTAGGGAATTGCTGAGAAACACAAAATAAATCGAATAGCTTTTCTTTATTACACTACCAATATCCTTCCCTCCTTCCATTGTAAGTCTACAAGATTGTAGGTATCACAAGTCTGTGATAAAGATTCTAAAGTGTATGGGGTGTTTGCTCTACTAGAATGACTCTACTTTTCACAAAAATAAATGTTCCAAGTATACACCAGTTAGCACATGAATGAAAAAAACATGTAGAATAATAAAATAAATGAAATTAGAAAGCATCCATCCCCCTTTAGAGAGTATATTTATTCCTGCAGTGTAAAATGGGAATTTCAATTCAAAGGCTGTCAGTCCAAAATTAGTGAGAGTAAGAAAAAAGCAAAAGTCCCCTACTTTATTTGCTATTACAATTAAAAATGGGGCATAATACATGCCTATTATAACATTAGTTTTAGTAGTGCTTCACACACTGGTTCCTAGCAACTGCAACAACCTGGCCAAACGTGTAAAATTCTCAATTTCAAGAAATAGTACGAATTTTTCATTACTGCATATGTTACTTCCAACCCAAAACAACAAAAACAACAAAAAAGGTCAAGTAAGACAATTATACACCTGCCATTAATAAAAATCTCATAAAAATACTCTCACAATAAAAAGCCTCAGAGAAATTGGTGGGAATATCTTCTGTTTATCTCACTGGCTTAGAAACCAACAGTTATTTAGTGCTGAGAAAATTACAGCCCTTACATTTGTTTGGACAGTTATTTGTGCCTTGGCAAACCTTATCTTTTAGATAATGCCAACATTATTTTTAAATTTGAGGAATGTTCTGTCTCAGTGTTTCTCTGGACATCTCAGTATTTCAACTATTCTGAGGTCAAAGAAAATTTTGCTGGATTTGGGAAGTAAGGCATTTGCAGATCCTGCAATGCCTCCAATATGTTCTTGCACCAGAAGCTTGAGGAAAGAGGCCAGATGAATATTCAGGTCACAGTGATGAATGCTGCAAACTAAAATTGCTGGAAGCCTTCCTGGAGTGCATTAGAATTTGTGGCTCTTCTGTTGAAATGATCGGTGTTACTCTCAGGAGTCTGTCACTGAACAAGGACAGGCAGGGAATACACACATTTTGTAAATAATGATAAAGAACTAGTCAGGAATAAAAATGGCAGTCTTGCACTACATTGTAGAGGTTCCAAAAGTGCTTTCAAATGGAACAGAAAAGGTAATGTGCAGTTCTCGGTGAAACAAGTGTATTTGTGTGTACATGCACATAGGCTGGAGGCAGAAAATGTACTTTGAATAAACCAAAATCCTATCAGATTAATCAAAACCCACCTTTGTTGGATATCAATTCCTGTTTCCCATGGCCTGGCTTTGAAAGGTTAATAAAACATAGAGATTCATCTGCTTAAAATCAAGCATTTGTGCCTTGATTTTTAAATGAAAATTACCTTGTGTTTGAATTTGTTGGAATTCTTGTTTTCTTTCTTGTTGAGATCGATGAAGTAATGAGTAATGCGATCCTTGGATTTAGAATCCATGTCCCAAGAAATCTTGAAGGAATCACACGTGATGTTACTTATTTTGATGTTGTGTGGGACTGGAAGCTCCTCCATCTCTGCAATCCCACTATCTTGTGATTTATTCCCTGCGTGGAAAATAAGCACGATTTGTTCAGTGAAGGACCCATTTGATCAGTGTTTTGTGTGCTCCAGTAGCAGCACATCCCTGAACAGCCTTTCACAAAGGCTCAGAGGGGTCCTCAGCAGCCAGTGGGGTACAGTTATACAAGTCTGGATGTCAGTGATGGAAAGCATTGGAAAGGGATGAAATTACTCAGGTGAATAAGCACTAATAGCATGGTGCAGAGAGTGGCTGGCATCACCACTGTGTGTGCTTGCAGGCTGACAGGACAAACCACCTGAAGCTATCAAGTGCTCCAAGGTTCAGTTAAGAAGCCAGCCATGCCCACAGTTAACATAATGGCCCTATTCATATCTGTCAGCGACTTAAACACAAGCAGAAATCATATTCATCCTTAAACCACTTTTCAAGCACAAAACACAGCCAATCTCTGCAAGGTTTATAGATGCTGGATGCATATACACACATGTGTACACATATTTAAAACAGCAACTTCTTTGAAATGAAACAATTAACACTTTGGTGAGCCACAGCAAAAGGGACACAAAAGCAAGCTTCATTTTCTGTTCTTTATTCTTCCCATTTTCCCAGCTGAGACCCTGCAGTTTTCTTGGGAAGTTATTTTCTAAGTACATATGGGAGATGAACAAATGACCATTGACCCCAAAAAGAATCACTGGTTCTAAATTTAGGTCTCCCCTTAGTTCCCAAGGCAACTTTATAGTTCAGCATTCTGTGAACATTAGAATTCAGAAACGTTAGGTGTTCTTGCACTTACATAAGACCCAACTCAAAAGTGAACAAATGAAAAAAGCTCAGTAAGCAGAGAGAAAATACTGGGTAAAAAATGAAAAAATCTATATGATGTAAGAGAAGTAAAGAAACAGAACAGAAAAAAAAGAAAATTGAACGTAGATAAGGACAGATAGAACCAAAGGAGGAAACAAAAGCTAATGAAAACAAAAGCCTAAGAAAGGGAGGAAAGCTTCCAAATTCTGGCCAGATGATGAAGATGGGAAACTCATGCAGGGATGTTGGGCAATGCATTGTCAGAATTATTCACAGTCACATCTAATTATAGAAAAAGATAGTATTTATACTTTCATCATAGCTGGTAAAAAATGATAAAAAACTGAACTCAGTTTGGGCAGTAATAAAAGTAAAAACTTTACTTGGAAAACATTAGGAACATTTCAGCCTCTTAACTCTGCCAAAGAATTATTCCAGCACTTCAGTGCAGGAATATTACTGTGGGCCTGATTGTTGAAAATTCTGCCCATAGATATGTGAAATTCAATCACAGAGTCTGCAAAATTCATAGATCTCCAGCTAGTATTGTGAATAATGTATTTTTACTGATGACTTCAAGAAATAATAAAACTATTTTTCTGTTTTTGTCTTATTTTATGCATTTACATCTAAAAGATTGTCTATTCTTCAAACATCCTACTGCTTTTTTAAAATTATTTTTCAACTAATACCAAAATCAGTTAGTGCATGGTCTTGCTCAAAATGCCCCCTATTTGTGCCATACACAGTGACATTTCCAACAGCTGCACTGGCTGCAACAGACTCAGAAATACCAGTCATTACTGAAAGCTTTCTCTTCATATGAAAGACGTGGTAAGTGCTTTTCCCAACATGACATTTCAGAAAGCCAGCAGGGAGAAAATGGCACTGCTTTCTTTTGCAAGCAATTTGTATTTGAAAGATGACTGAAAGCTCTGCCAGGTACACTGAAAAGGCTTCATATGATCGGCTCTTCCAAGAGCGAGGCTCTGTGTTTAAGCAGAAGATGGAGTGTGGCTGCTGAGGTTCTCAGAGCTGGAGAGCTGGACAGACTGAGACCCCAGCACACTGAACACTGTGTAGCATCCTGAACATACATGCAGCCAGGAAATCCAAGCCATAAATCCACAATAGCTCAATGTGCAAATTGTTTGCCTAAAAATGAGATTCTGTATTCCATACTCAGGGCCTGAGCTGTGTTACCAACAGCCAAGGTGGTTTCAGCCTCAGGACATGTGCAAAGCAGTAATTGACCGCTTTGTCAAATTTTTACTTTGTCAAAAATAACAGAGAGAAAGAAACATTTTGGAGAACACCAGCGGCAAAGAGCAAAAGTGCTTCTGGAAATAGGTATCATTTTCTGTGCGTTTCTTGGTATTAATATCTGGCACACATCTTCAGATATCTGCACTCCTGTTCCTTTTAATTTCTTTGCTTTTGAAGTGAATAAATAGCTGTAAGTTAATGTCATGCAGAAAACCTCCAGGTAATTTTTAGGGTTAGGGTAGGGGTTAGGGTTGAAAGAGTCAAAGATCCTGCAGCTTCAGGAAAACTGAGGCTGGAAAAGGCAAGGCTATCCCAGCAGGGCCTCGACATTGCTGCTCCTGCATGTTTGTGATCTGGAAACCCACGGTGCTGGGTTAGGGGTAGGGTAGTGCTTAGACAGAAAACTAGGTGATACAACACACATATTTTAGGGGAAGTATAAAGACCACAAGGAAATCTAAGCACACCTAACATGCCAAGCTCCTGAAGAACCTCCATCTCTAACACTGGTCTTTTCCCCAGGACTGAAAGTTTGCTACAAAAAAGAAAGCCCAGATTCAGTGGTGATTGCTCTGTTCACCATGTCTGTCTGCATTCAAGCACCTCAAAGCAGCCTCTAGGTTGCTGCAAGGTTTTTATGGCGGGTGAGACATCCAGAAACCACTGAATGATTTGGGAATGACAAAGGCACAGGGAAGTCCTGGTGATATCCCACAAGCAGTGACTGGGAGGAAAGTCAGTGGCACCGTGGTGACCACAATATTCTGTGTTTGACCACAATATTCCCCTACACTGATGTAATTTCACTCATCAGGGCTGCTGTCATGCAGGAGAGGGTGCACCAAGTGCTGGGTGTAGTGTCTGGGAATACACACAAGACATTAAACTCCTGCAGTTACTTCTGTGAGCTGTCAGCTCCTTGAAAACCTAGGAATGTGATGAGGGAAATGTGACTCGGGTTCATGAGCCAGAAATAAGCGAGACTGTACTCACAAAGTACAAAATTAAATGCTAATGCTAGATATGTTCTGGGAAGATATCTGAAAATCAAAATATGTGTAGATAAGGATGAGAAGCAATTTCTGAAACCCTGAAAGATTAGGTTTATAGATAGATAGATAGATAGATACCAACAGCACATGTAATAAACACACTAAAGGCCAAACAGAATTTTATAATATGAATCACATTTTTTTTTTAAAAATCTCACCTTATGCAGATTTTAAAATGCATGCACTGAGGGAACCAAAATGTGGTTTTCACAAGGTAATATTTTCAATACAATGAGAGATATTAGCTATGGTATTTTAAAGAAGAAATGTTTGATGAGGTGGGATCAATGTCTAAGAGCACACACGTTTTAGGTACCATGACATAAGAAATCCTCCTACAGAGGTGGATGCTAGCAACTGAGAACAACTCATTTACAAACAGGAACTCCCATGACATGAGCAGAAAAACACTTACACCTTCTGAAATACAGAACTTTCTACCTTTTCTTGTATTGATAATTCAACAGATAGGTTATATATTAGAGCTATAGAGGTAAAATATTGTAATTACAGACATCTGATCTAGACTGACAATATTTAAGTGCTGCAATTGAGAGTGAATTCTCCAATTTACTGAGAAGGTATTTAATTTCCTCAAAAATTCAATAGAAGGGAGAAAACTTTTCATTCTGTATAACCATCAAAAATGACAGGGAAGTGCCAGGAAATTACATATTAGCTGCTACTTTAAATTTAACTAAGCAAAAATACAGTGTCATATTTTCCTCCTATGCTCAGGAATGAATGGCTCCCTGTCCAATGGCTGGCTATATAGAATTACAGAGCCAGGACAATACGTCCTCACCAAGCAAATAATTAACCTGAATACCAACATTTCAATATTCACAGCAACACCTTGTTCAAGAGAGACAGTGAAATCACACAGAGGAAATACAAATGCAACAACATTAAAAAAAAATTAATTCAAGTTTGTTATTTGTTAGGCTATGTAAGTGCACTTCTCTAGGATAGTTACTCTATTTCAAAGCGCAATTTTTTATCCATAACCACAGAAGTAATGTTGATGTTTTGTTTGTGCATCTTTTCATGTACAAAAAAATGAGTGAAGAGTCTCAGACTCTTAAGTATCTCTCTCTCTCCCTCAGAATCCTGGTAAACTACCTCCCAATAGAGATTTTTATACTTATATAAGCATATTTAGGAATATTTTCTAAATAAGTATCCTTGTAAAACTAATTCCTAAATTAGATAAAGAGAGAATGCCTGACCCTAGAAATCCTGTTAGAGGGATAAATCCCTCTAAACCTTCTCCTCATTTCCTCCCCATTGTCTAATACTACTGCTGTGCATTTCCTAGTATGAAACGTGCACTGTGTCCAAAATATTTTAAAAATAGGTTCAAGAATAAAGCATTACTTGACTAAAACGTGTATCTATATTTACTGAGTGGTTCTGAAACGTGCAAATACATTCAGATTCTTATTACATGGTTTTAGCAGCTTAATTTATCTGTTTCCTGCTAATCTAGGACATTGACTTCAGCAGGAATATTCCACACACAAAAGAGAGAGAATACAACTGGACTCTGTGAGTACAAATGTGCCTTCAGTACAGGCATCTTCTTCAGCTGAGAATGCCCCCCAAAGAGTGCCCACATAAACAAAGCACTGAGCAATCTCTGGATTGCCTGGTTTCTGTGCTGAAAAATTTGTCTCAGCCCCTTACAAAGGACTCGATTCTTCCTCCTTCTCACAAGGAGGATGAATGTACTCTACAAGTGGCGCCGTGATTCACATCAGCAGCAGCCCAGTCTCTCACTCCTGCCACTGCCAGCCAGAGATGTGCAGGCTCCCAGTTCCCAGGTCCTGCTCTCTCCAAGCCTGGTTTCCCTGCTGGTTCCCCAACACTCCCCCAGCCCAGATGCCCATTTGAACAA